TATTATCTATACTGTTTTTTTAAGTTATAGATAAATCTACAACTACAAGTTGGTACATGCACCAGAAATGGAAAACATATATCGTTATTATATAGATGCTGTTAATAGCTTATAAAAATAAGGCTATATATACTCCTCTTTGTAGATGTAAGCCTATACTCATCGAGGATTAAAATCAATAATTCCTGCTGAAGAGACCATTAAACCTGTGTCTACATTTTATATACTATTTGACATGGTAGTTCATATCTGTGATCATTATCATAATGGTGAAGAAATAAATTGTTTGTTTATATCAGAGAGAGAAATGGGGTTTGACATCCACACGACACAAACTAGATCTTTTTGGGACAAATGTTAAACTATTTGACCATGCAACCCCTCCATGTTTATATCACTTGTAACAGTGGAGCACAAATTGTTTGTAGATATCATGCATACATGTATATTGATATTTTATGTTAATTATATATTAATTAAATTATTGCTCTTTACCCATAGAACAATTGAATATGTTGAGTTTTTGTTTAGACAAGTTATTGTTATGATAATTAAATTATCCTTAAAGTGAATACTGATAACATGTTTGTATATTTCCTGTAGATATTTATGTTAAATATATATTAATTGAATTATTGCTCTTTACTCATAGAACAATTGAATAAGTTGAGTTTTTGTTTAGACAAGTTATTATTATGATAATTAAATTATCATTACAGTGAATACTGATAACTTGTTTGTATATTTCATGTAGATATTTTATGATAAGTCCATTATTTACACTGTTGCTCTATACTGACATTACATTTACAGTTGAATAAATCAAATTTATTGGGGTTTTTAAAACATAATTTAGTTATTATGATTATTGTAATAACCAAGTTCATATCATATATACATATAGATATTTTATGGTAAATAAATTATTTAAGGGCGTTGAGCAGTCTAAAATGCACATTTTAAAGCTATCACTGTAATATTTGTTGATAAGATATGACATTTTATGTTATTTGGAGTGATGAACTACATATTAATCACCCAAAAAATACCAATTTTATTTACCATGTTCCAAACTTGGCCCAAAAGCAGAATAATAAAAGGTGCTGATGACAACAAAAGTCAAATTTTCTCATTTATGCCTTCATTGATTTTCATCAGCCTTGTAGTGTTATGATTTTAAATGTTATTGATGAACTCCATATTTCCCACACCTGTACGTGACAAGGAATAAGGTCGCCTGTCCAGTGTCCTCCCTCTGCTAAAAGATACCTACTACGCACAGGCATATTATTGAAATAAAATTTAACCATATGTTAGTCCAGTGTTGGGTGGATGTTAAACCCTATTTCTAGAACTCCAAATTTAGATTCGCATTAGCTAATCTAACAAATTTATTTTTGGTTAATAAGTAGTAAATATGTAAACAGAACTCATATGTCATAACTGCATACAAGATGCACAATACCTGACAAAACCTGATGTACCTGACAAAATAATGAAAGAGTATATGACATGTATTAATAATATCAATAAAAAAAGACAAATCTGTGCCGGACCAAATGACAGGCACCACAGGTTTTGTACCTGAAGAAGCCTGAATCTGTGCCTGACAATGTCTGTGACAGGTGCCTTATTTCTAGGCTTGAAGATACACAGACATTGTAAGCATTAAACAGTAAACGTATACATGTATATTAAATCAAGTGAATGGATAATGGGTGCCAGCTGATAAGTTTGTAACATGGATGGGAAATCTTCCTTTGTTCTTTTCATTGAATAAGCAGATTGTTTTCCCTCTAGTAGATTGGGTGGAGGTTAACCGTGCAATAACTAGACATGTTCAATGTTATTGCACACTTTTGCTGGTTTACACTAGTTTTAGTAGAAATCATATAGATAAGTGGGGTGGGTTTTATGTGCAATAACAATAAGCATGTTGAGCAGTTGTCAGTGTTAAAAGTCATTTATAGCATGCTTCATTCGTTAACAGGTTTAACCCTTCGGCCTCTGGTTAAACCTGTTAACTCATGAAAGCGTATTTTAGAGATGCATTATGTAAGAATTAGATAAAGAGCTGGATGTTCTTGTTATTATAGTTCATTGTTGTCACCTCTGTCTCTCAAACTGGAGGGCGAGTCTTGTTCGTTATTCTATGCCCTTGACTGAAGTAGCTTTTTTTTTTTTTTTTTACAGGTCAGAAAACATGTATGCATGTACATGGTGTTTTCCCATACCTGTATATCCCGTACGATGGGACGAAACCAGAAGACAGATTCATGAGACAAGTAGCAGCTAGTTTAGATAAAGCTCTCAATGTTGGAAATGGAATGGCTAAAACAAACATTCAACATGTTTTCAAGATTTCTCTTGTTTCTGGCATGTAAGTAATGAAATGAAATGAAATGGGGTTTAACGTCCTACTGTTCTGCTCGAAAAATGGGCTAATGAAGATGAGCATACACCATACAGTGTGCTATGAGGGAAATTTTGCCCGGACAGCAGCACTACAGCCTACTTTTGTATTGAATTCCAACTGTCAAGGGATCTTTTACGTGCACGGCAATGTGTACACGGGACCTCGGTTTTCCATCCCATCCGAACAACTAGACAGCTGTCTTTGTCAGGCCCTCCGTCCTGCATCACTGACAAGGGGGAACCACGCCGGGAAATCTGGATGAACTTTCTCAGCCAATACACAGGGAACGAACACCAGACCCCCAGGCTAGTGAGTCAGCGCCTTACTTACTTAGCCACGGTGACCCCGGCATGTAAGTAACTATGAATAACTGTCTTGTCATAGGGGTGACAGGTGGTTGAGACTTGAGTGGTCTAACACTGGATTAAGGGAAGTGTTGACTGGGCTGCAGGTAGAGCCTCCATTATTAAAGGGACCCCAAATTACTTCTTAGAAAAAAGTCACGTTAAGGTAGAGTTTAACTAGGGGGACATAATTAATGATTTTATGATTTTATTTGCCAGTATTATGTTTTATATGTTTGTACTAAATAAATCTATCTATACTGACATACAAATTGCATTTGTCTGAGTATGGCAGACAATGACCAGACTATGCCCCCTTTTCACCGTTGATGTAATGGCCCCCTCTGGTATATTCAGTCATTGGCCCCATGCACGATTAATCTGGTCCAGTCTAATGCATGTGCTTTAGATCATAAGGTCTGTCATTGGCATAGGATCTCATTTGTCAGAATCTCAGTCCTGTAACAATGACAAGGAAACCATGTTGGAAAATCCCTGCAGAGCTTTCTTGGCCAAAACCGGGGCTAGAACCCTAGACCTCCTGTTTAGCAAGCCAGTATTTTACTCACTGAGCCACAGTGGCTCCTGAATACCAATGATAAAAGACAAGATAATCATTTTGATATCATACATATGATTTTTATTTTCTCCAGACCTATGTATGGCTATCACCCAAAAGAAGAACTTTTTTTGAAGATTTATTTGTATAACCCAACTTCAGTTAAAAAGTAAGTGTGTACAAAACAGTCTAGACCACATCAATTTGAACTTTTGTTATTTAGGAACATCTATTTAAATTTTACTTATTATTTCCTGGACAAAGAAAAATTAATAATTTAAAATTAAAATGTACTTCCCAAAGGATTCCATTTCAGCATTTTTAAGTTTTAGAATTCTGAACCCCCAAAAATTGTTCACAGGGGCCATTTATCTATCAAGACTGCAAAGAACTAAATATTAATATGTTGTGGCCTAATTAAGAACTAATACAGTAATATGGTTTGGCCTAATTGAGAACTAAAAAAAATAATTGAGAAGTAATAAAATAATATGGTTTGGCCTAATTAAGAACTAATAAAGTAATATGGTTTGGCCTAATTGAGAACTAATAAAATAATATGGTTTGGCCTTATTGAGAACTAATAAAGTAATATGGTTTGGCCTAATTGAGAACTAATAAAGTGATATGGTTTGGTAGAACTGAGAACTAATAAATTAATATGGTTTGGCCTAACTGAGAACTAATAATATCAGACTGAACAATCCAACAGTTTACATGCTACTTCATTTTTTTATGAAAACTATCTTATGAAATGAATTGATTGATTTTTTTTTATAGAGCTGCTGATTTGCTCTTAGGTGGCGCTGTGATGAATAAATCCTTTCAACCTCATGAATCACATATACCATACCAATTACAGGTAGTTATTGTAGTTATCTATATGTATATACATTGTACTAGCATGGGCAAATTGCGTCCTTCGAAAACTGAACTCAATGAGGCGTGTACATTCCCCACAGGATTTTTGTAATTTAGTTGTCTGAAATGTCATTTTAGAGAGTTCTGCATTTATTTATACTGAAAAGTCGTTTAGGTGTTGGAAAAAATTGTGTAGTCATGTCAGTACACTGTGTAATTGGCTCTACTAGAAGTTACATGAGTGATAAGGCATATCGTGGTGATAGTTAAAATTTTGATGAAAATCAGATCGTGTTTCTTTACAGCCATATTTGTCTTGTTGAATGGCTTTCATTGAGTCAAGTGGTGTGGTTTCAATCCCACGCTTGTTCGTGACAAGGATTTGAGTCACCTGCTACTGGTTTCCTTCTACTGCTATAGAATAGACAAATGCAAATTATTGAAATATATAATTGTACCATATTTTAGTCCCGTAATAACCTAGTTTGTTTTAGCTGGGTCATCTTCTTCTGGGGCTTTACGTCTGCTTCCTCTTTGTGTGATATCACAGACACCCTCTCTGTTTGGATAATGAGCATGTTATGCTTAGACTAAACAGAAATAAACTATTTAATTGGTTTGAGACTTAGAGACACAAGAACTTTGTATCTTATTAAAGTAGAACGTTCGAACTTGTAGTAGATGTTCATTAGCTGCATGTCACGACTGAGTTTGATGAAAAACATTCTCTTCTTATGCTTGTTAAAGTTACCAATACATGAATAAAATAAATATATATATATTGATATTACAGTTATTTATTGATTTTAATCTCTATGGAATGAATTTAATTAATGTGGCTGCTGTCAAGTTCAGAAAGAACAAAGATCAAGGTAAGAGTTTGAGATTTTGTACCTGTAGCCTCCTTAACCAATAATATCTGTTTCTATATTGAATACAATATATATACAGTGCCGAATAAACCAATGACAAGACCCCTCATCTTCAGTAGAGGCTTCATCTAGCTTTAACTCTGTACATTTTATCAAGTCCTTCACGTAATACCTTGCATATTTTTCGTTAGTTTCAGTTGGCTACTGATTTAGGCTTAGTCTGCCTCAAGATAATACGGGACTGTTCATATGTGTATTAGTGGTTGAGAGCGAGAAATTCAGTAATATGTATTTACTGCATGTGTAATATCAATCAACATAGATCATTTGAGTATATAGTTTTAATGGTATAACAATACATCATTCAGGTTTTTAAACAATACAATGATGAAATGATAACTACCTGTAGTAAATGAATGCTGCTAATTTTAAAAATAGTTAAAATTCTAGTTGAGATTACTGAATTTTAAAATTAGTTAATATCCTAGTTGAGATTACTGAATTATTTAGTGTATTAGGGTTAATATCCCACTTGAAAATTCTGAATTATTTCACCTCTTATATGTCATGTGCTACCACTAATAACTAAATAAAGTTCATTTTAAGATATATTACGATATGTACATGTACAGTCTTCTACTACTAATAACTAAATAAAGTTCATTTTAAGATATTATATTACATATGTACAGCCTTTTAAGATATATTACGATATGTACAGTCTTCTACTACTAATAGCTAAATACCAATGATAAAACGGAGGAAATATACGTACATACTTTTTGTTTAATATTGATTTTTATGTGATTTATTTTAGAAGATACTTGTAGTCCGAAAGAAACAACATCACCAGACTCATTTAGTGGTCATTCTGGTCTGAGCACACCAACTCATCGTCGCTGGAAACATTCTAATATAGAGAGGTAAAAATTTATTTAATGTATTCTTATTGAAATTATGTATTTTATTTAGGTCTGTTTAGTTTACACTTCAAATCATTATTTTGTCTTGAAAATGCAGATTATTTGTGGTCTAAGGGGAGATAATAGGTAATGGAAGAGTTGTCTCCCCTAAAATTTTAACTGGCTTCTTGTTTCAAAATGTTGGGAATCACCAATATGGCAAAGGCCTTAAAAGAGTTATTTGAGAAGGCATCTAAATAATTAATGTGTAAAGAAGATTCAGATTTCATTAACATTTAATTTTGTCTTGAGAATTACTGATCAGTACATTTATAAGTCTATTATATTTCTGTCATCTGTCTGTTCGGGGTTTAATGTCTACACTAGAGCTGCCCCTGGCTGAAACTGGCTCTACGCATACAACACCTGGTAAAAGCTAGTACTAGTAGCTAAATATAAAACCCCTATTGTATTTGTTTTTTATTTTTTATTATTCTAAAAAAACAGATACATTCATGATAAGTCATGTCATTGCTGGAGGGCAGGTTCTCTATAAATATGAAAATAAAAATAATATATGATGTGATAAACTAATTATGAAAGTCATTGTAGATAACAATAAACATATGATTGGTGTTTTAGGGATTTATATTTATCGGATACAGTAGATAAACATAGCACATGTGAATTAGAAGTAGATGTTATTGCATCAGATATATTAAACAGACTAGAAGTTGATGGTAAGTATAAAACAATATTAGGGGATTGACCTTTCATGAACCAACTTTGTGGGTTAACTCCAGGTCCCTGGGTTTCCTCCCACTGCTAAAAAGTCCCCCACGTGCATGCAAATTATTGAAATAAAAATGTACCCTAGCTTGTTGTTTTGGGTTCGCAAACAATGTTGCAATGTCTTGTAACAATTTTCAATAATTTGTGATTGTGGGCTGTTCGTGTTAGTTTATAGTATTCCATACAAAATTTTATAAAGTGTATATTGTGATACATTTGACAGACTTATTGATGGGGACTATTGGAAACAACAGAAACACAAGTAACAAAGTTAGAAAGACTGTCATTTACTTCACAGCAGCTTGACAGTGTGGTGGGAGGTTGACGCCTTTATATACAATGTGTGCCTATAGTCAGGGCTCACACTGTCGGTTGGCAAAGTCGCAATTTGTGGTAAAAAAAATGAAACTGGTGATTAAAATTTGATTTTGGCAATAATTTTAACGATAAAGTTTTGGGGTACTTGCAATTCTTTTTAAGAAGTGGTGGAAAAACAATATTAAAACTCTAATGGTATTTCTTCTAGATTGACCATTACGTTGGGTGTCTAACAATTACATTTCATAATGAAGCATTTTGAAAATGTTGCAATGTGACAAGTTACAATATTCAGTTGATTGTAGGCTGTCTATGTTTATAGTATCTCTATGAATATACCAGGCAAAATCGTGTAACAAAGAAATTTAAAAATGTTAATTGTTTTCAGCTAATATTGGTACAAATCCAGGATTAGCTGCTATATGGGAAGATGAACGACAGAGAAAAAGAGATTTAGGTGAAAGCTCTCAGATAACACCACAACAATCACAAGGTCTGTAGCCATTTATACTTCATTAGACCAGTTGGTGCAGAACTATTTCATTTGCACATTGTTTTATCTTTTCCTTCGATATAGTCTGTTTTCTACAAGTAGAATAGTTTATTGTCAGGGCAGTGGCGACCGCTAATTTTGCACGAGGAGCAAGACCCTTTGGGGTGCACAGAAACCCAATATTTATATCGAGAACATGCTAGAGTCGATTTTTAGCATATTTATTGCTATTAAAAGTTGTTTGATTTTAAATGTTAATTTAGAACTACATCATCATATGGCATAAAAATATCAGAAATAGAATCAGGAAGAGGGAACAGATAAAAAAATAAAACAGATTTCTTTATAGATCTATTTTTGATTTTTGGAACAAACTACTACTATTCATTTTGTTATTCTTGTTCTCCTTAATTGGGGCGACCCACCTAAAAAAAAAAAGCCTACGGCTCCACCAATTCAAGTACAATCGACATGAAACTTGGCATGCTTATTCCTTGGATAATTGTGCATCAATTGAAAAACTTCAATTTGTGATATGACAACACAGTTCCAAGATGGCTGTGATGACGTCATGCTTGGTTCCTGGTCCATACAGTATGCTCACAATTTCCTGGTCCATAGAGTATGCTCGCAATTATGACCTTATATTACTTTATATTCCGGGGGGATCACGTGGCTAAGTGGGTAAGATGCTGGCTCGCTAGCCTGGAGGTCGGGTGTTCGATCCCTGCATTGGCCGAGAAAGTTCATCTAGATTTTCCGGCGTGGTTCCCGCCCTTGTCAGTGTTGCAGGATGGAGGGCCTGACAAGGACAGCTGTCCAGTATTTCGGCTGAGAAGAAAAACCGAAGTCCCGTGTATATATTGGAATGCACGTAAAAGATCCCTTGGCAGTTGGAATTCGATATAAGAGTAGGCGATAGTGCCGCTGCCCGGGCAAAATTTCCCTCATAGCACACTGTATGGCGTATGCCCGTCTTCATTAGCCCAGCATAGGAGCAGAACAGTAGGACGTTAAACCCCATTTTATTTCATTTCATTTATATTCCACAGAGCATGATGATGTTGTTACCTCCGATAGTGAAAATGAATTAAGACTTCGATTATTGGAAATAATTGAAAATCAGCAAGCTTTTCCGTAAGTACTATATGCATAATACTAAAGTAATAATTTTCATAACTTTCATATTTTACATGACTTAATAATATAAACTGAATAGAATCTTTGGGCTTTCTTAAGGTGGTGTCTCCCTTGTCAGGGCTTGTGTCTATGATACGAAAAACCATTCCCCTTCTGTGTACCTAAAAAAATCCTTGGCAGTTAGAATTCGAAGAAAGTGGGCAGAGTAGTCAGAATTCTTATTCTAGTCTCAAAATGACCAAAGTATTGTCCAATCTTTTTAGAATTGATATCTGTTGTTATTATTGAGACGTAGAAACCTATAGACTTTAAACAAGTTCCTTTGATTGCTTCTAGAGTTATAGCCCTTGTTTCACTTTCTACAATCTTGTGAACTCTCTAAAGACAAAAGTTATCATGCGATCTGAATGGAATGAATATGCATTTTTAAATTAGTGAAGCCTGTTGAATTTCAGCAATGATATTATACCATCTATTGCATTGTGGACTGATCAGACAACTTATATAATTAGCAGCTTTAGGTGTATGTTTCTTTGTCTGGCAAGGAGGGTAAATGAATACGAATCATCTCTTCTCAAATAAATAATTAACAATGACTATTATGTTTCAATACATCATATATTAGTCGAATGTTATACACAAATAGAAATTAAGATTGGCATGTGTTTATATTGTAATAGGGAGAGTCAATCAGAGGGAGAAGAATCCGATATATCACAAGCTGATGATGGTGGAACTCAAACAGAGGATGTTTTACAATCCTCACAGTTACCACTTCATCTTTTACACAGACAAGGTCAGGACAAACTATAAATTTAACTGTATATATTCATGGGTGTAGCGCCCATGGTATAGTATACCCACGTGAGTACACTGTACATTTTTAATACAGAACTCTCCAAAATGTACACAAGACGTGTTTATGTATCTCAAATTTTTATAAGGCAAATTACATTAGGAGGGGGGGGGTCATTAATTGTGGTTACTACAAAGTACATGCATCGGTGAGTACAGTTTTCTAATTTTATATAATGTAAATTGATTGACAGGAAAGTTCTCCTATCGGTCAGTTTCATTGACTGTCAAGGAAGACTGACAAATATAACTGAAGTGAGAGCCCGGGTATAAATTTGACATTAATGTATAGTTTAACATATAAACTTTACAATGTATACAATTTCTTCCATATTTTGTAATCAGTTTCCACCTTTCCCTTGTTGGGGGTTGTTTGTCTAGGTGGTCCAACGCACGCACTTTAGATCATAAGATCCGTCATTGGTTTTGATTCCACACTTGGGTATTCTATGTGTCCTCTGTTTTCCTCCGACTCCTAAAGAACCCTATGCGCAAGCAAATTAATGTAATAAAAGTGTATCATGTGTTAGTCCCGAAATGACATAGTTTGTGTTTAGCCTCATTTCTCTCTCTTACCTTTCCCCTGCTGAGATATTTGTAATTCAATTTATTCCTACCTATATCTGATTATGAAATCATTTGCCTGTTTACTGTATTTTCTAATTGTAGATTCTGGTAATTTGTCGTCATCACAAGATACTATAATAGTGGAAGGCGAACCTGAAGAAACTAAACCAGTTGTTAATCTAAAATCTATACAAAAAGTTTTATCATTTAGTCAAAGTTTTAGCCAACAATCATCAGCATCTCAGACAGGTAGGTTATAAAATATACATGATGGATATCAAAAATTTAATCTTATAGATTATACACTCGTTTATGGTGATTAACAAATTATACTCTTGATTATTTACAAATTATACTCTGGTTATTTACAAATTATAATCTGGTTATTTACCAATTATACTTTGGTTATTAACAAATTAAACACTGATTATTAACAAATTATACTCTGTTTATTTTCAAATTATTCTCTGTTTATTATTACAGACTGATATATTAAATTTAATCTTATTAGAAAATTATACTCTGATAATTAACAAATTAAACTCTAATAATTAACCAACTATACTCTGTTAATTAACCAACTATACTCTGATAATTTACAAATTATACTCTGATAATTTACAAATTATACTCTGATAATTTACAAATTATACTCTGATAATTTACAAATTATACTCTTTATTATTTACAAATTATACTGGATACACCGAAAATAGCTATACAAACTTACTCTGTTGAAATATGGTATAATAGTATCACTATTTAATTGCCGAGATCAAAATGAAACATTTGCTGAACTGAAGTATTGGAGAATATAGGAGACGGTCTCATTATTTCAATTACGTCTTTCTTGTAAATCATTGTTTTGTTTTCCATTTTGAGTGAAGTCTGTATCATTACAGGCCAGTGACTGTACAGTACAATGGACACTTAGGGTATTTCTTTACAAATAAATAACCAATGCACATACCCTTTGATAGCGATAATTGTTCTTTAAAATGAGATTGACATTTTAATTGCTATTTCTACAGAACAAGGAGATAAATCTTTGATGGATATTCTGGCTTCGTTAGCGGATGACAGTCAAGATTGTTCTCAAGAAGATGTGTCACAGATAGAAGCCCTGGAGGAGGAGGACAGTATAATGACATCTAAACCTCGCCTGCCCAATCATACATCTATTAAAGAGGATGAAGAAGAAACTATGGAGATGTCACAGATTGTGGTAGTAGAAGATGAAAATGATGATGACGTGGAAGATAAAAAGACTAAAAGGTAATCCACAGAAAGAAAAAAAGAGAATAATGTGTACACTAGACTAACCAGGTGTAAATGACTGCCATTTAATTTGGACTGCTTACATATTTCACTGAACATAAATGTAAATCAGTTTATATACATTCATATTACATTAATATTTGCTTTTCAACCTATTTCCATCTGTTTTAAGATTGCATAGAATAGAACTATCCCTTTCTTTTACAATAATTTATAATTGAACAAATTCTTTTAACAGTAAAGACAGAGAAAACTTTGATCTACAAGGTATGGATGATTCTTGGACAGCATCGCAATGGTTCTCTGATAAGGATGATGGTGATGATGAAGACGATGATGCTAATATTCCTCAGTTTGATGGAGCATCTGATAAAAAGTCTGGTAAGTCAAACTGAATTCCATGTGAATCTTTTGCCAAAGTCAGTTTTATATCTCTGCCATGGTGCCGAAGATGTAAAAAAGCATGCATTTTAATAGTTCTTTGTTTCACATCAGGATTTTGGAATAAAATTAATCTATTGTTTTGATTCCTCTGATTCTAACATCTGAGATAATATTTACAATCCCCCAAATCCATTTATTATATTTGAACTATTTTTAATGGTTTCTCATTATTTATAATTACAGGTGACAAACCAAGAAAGAGATTGGGTACTCGTGGACCAGTAATATCCCAGCGTCTCCTCCCGAATGATATTCCACCAAATCATTATAATGTAGCACCTAATCCTTACCAGCAACAAAATCAACAATATCCTAGTCAACATAATTATCCCAGCAACAACGAATATTCTCAGTATGAAAATCCGTGGCAAACAGACTACAATACTCACAATCCATCATACTCTAATCAAAGGAGGTCATGGGAGCAGCCAAATTACACTCCCCTGCATTCTCCACCCCCAGTTCCATATCAGCCTGCTGCACAAGGGCCAACAAGTCAGTATTTTGCAGACTATGATAACCAGCAACAGATGTATCAGCAACAATCACATCAACATCAACATCAAACTCTTAATCAGCAGCAGCAGCATCACCAACAGCATAGTCAACAACACTCAAATTTAAACAATCCAAGAAGATTATCATCTAGTTCACACAACAATCTCAACAGTGCCTTTCCTCATGGCGGATTAGATTACCGTTATGAAGCTATAACTCCTCCTCCAGTTCAGCATGATCAGCAGCAACAAGCTGCGGCAGCACCACTCCAATCACCATTACGTAACATCCTCACAAACCCCTCGCTGCCTTACCAACCATCTTATTTAAATAATCGAAGCATCAGTCGATCTTCTACACACTCTACATCCTCATCTGGTTCACATCACAGTGAAACAAGCTTGATGAAAAGTGATGATAGTTTTCACAGTAACTCAACCTACCAAGTGGCCAACAACTTACATCAAAATATTCCTGAAAGATTTAACAACAGTTCTCAAATGATGGAAATGGGTACATGTCATCAGGGTCAGCAGTCATCAGGACAAAAGTACCATCAGAACATGTCCACTCATCAGCAATTCTCAAACTATAACCAGCAGCAGCAGCAACAACATCATCATCATAACAAGAGTGCAATGCTATCGCCTCAGAGTTTCTCAGAATCATTCAACAGATCTGTAAATAATAGCCAAGAAGATCTTTTTAGTGACAGTTCCAGCTTTCAAAACAGTCAAGATAATTCAACAAGTAGTGTTTTCTCAGCAATGAAGAATGTAAAAAATGAATTAAGAAGAAAGTTATCAGCTGGCAACATCCCACCATTAACCTCGCCTCCTCCGACTGTAAGTGATCTCAATACCTCTACAGCATATCGGAGTCCATTAACATCATCTTTACTAGAATCACCAGTACAGACCTACACAAGATTAAAAAATAGACACTCCTCTCAGAATATGCCATGTCCGACTTTTGTAGATTCTACAGGATTAGACTCTGTCGATGGATCTCAGAAACAGGGTACTGTTGGTGGATCGGCGCTAAATAATCTCTTTAATTTAGTATCAAATGTATCAAAAGAAAACGTCAGAGGGCTGAACCCTAAAACAACTCCAACAACAGCTTTGTCCAGGACTGTTGTTACAAACACAGCAGTGAATAGTTGGGAAAACCAATATCATCAGCAACATCATTATCAATATCAGCAACAACAACAACAGCATCACCAGCAGGGATTTCCTGTGAACCAAGATGCTTACAACATGCATCAAAACTCTTGGAATCAAAATAATATTGTAAACTCACAACTAACTCCCTTTATACCAAACTCCAACAAATTTACATATGACAATCCTGAAGCAAAACTTAACTCCTTTGAATCAAGACTTCCCAAAGTAGGCAAAAAGGAAAGAATGAAGAAACTAGGTTTGTCACAATCAAGAATTAAACCAACTCCTGAAATCAGCAGAAATGCAGCATATTCGTTTACTTTTCAAGTTCCCACCCCAGTTTTTAAGCGTCTTAAGTTCCGATCTGTAGACTATCAGAATGGTCCTGAATTAAAAGTAGTTCGAATGCATCCTAAAGATGCCAGAAAATACAGTTTGTTAAAAATTGGAAGAGAATTAGTTAAAGTTCCAAAACTTACAGCTAGTGATATCATACGATTCCAAAAACTCTTGAAATATCAGGATATGGAGAAGCAAATAAAGAGTGTAAACAACACATCTGTTGGAGAAGAGGTGTTGGATGCTTCAAAAATCCCAGGAAAGAAACCTTGTCTGGAATTGGATATGGACGTGGAATGCAAATTGGAAAGTAGTACAGAGAAGATGGTGATAGATAAGCAATTTCCAGAATCATTATCCATTGATAAACCAAGTATTGAACAGGTTCCCATAATTAGAAATGTGCCTATTAGAACGGAGAAAAATAAAGAAATAAAGAGAAAATCCTTATCGCTCAACAAAAAATCTAATAAATTGGCGGTTAAATGTACGAATAAAAACAACAATAATTTCTTTGAGGGTGATTTCAGTCACAGAGTTATTGATCCTGATCAAGGTGATGAGAAAGTTCTGGTTTTAAAAGATGTTAGTTTGAGGGATGCTTCTGAAGGCAATCTAACTCCTATCAAATCACAGACACCAGTGTCTGGTCGAAGTCCTGCATATTGCTCAACCACCACTGAAGATATTTATGGCAAAACTATGGATGATTTGGACATTCATACTCATCACAAAATATTTGGTAATGTTTTATTATGTGATAAAGAACCTATGAGCGAAGTAGAATCAGTTCTGTCCAATACCCATTCAGGTGCCTCATCACGGACAAGCTCCAGAAAAGAGTCATCTGATAGTACAGAAAGTCTTTCTGAAGTGTCTGAAACAAAAACAGTTAAATTGGGAAAAAGAAGACACTCTGCTGATTCACACCAAACTTCAAAAAATGGTGCCAGATCACGGAGATCATCAGTTAACTACTCCCCAAATGCTTATGGCCACCTTCGAAGTATCGAAGAAGAAGAGGCTCAGTATTTTAAAAGAAGAAAAAAAGAAGGATCAAGGAAGGGTTCAGAAATTGAAGGGGTTCATTATGTTATTGTTGGTAAATTCAAAGGTTCGAAATCTATGCGCATACGATTAAAAAGACATTACTTCCCTCAAAAAACAGTCAGTGCTACTAAATTTTTAGCCAATCCTACACAATTTCAAAAGGAGATACTGGAATGCTCCATTGAGGAAAATAAACATCTACAACTGCCATACTGTGATTCTTCATCAAGTGATCTCTCTGATAATGATAATGATGATGAATTTGATGGTGGATGTTCAGCTCTACCTGAAAAGGATGAATATACTGAAGTTACTCCAAACGACGAAGAATTAAAAAATCCTGACCCCAGTTATGAGAGTAGCGACTCTAGTAATTCTTCAGATTTTGGACTGATGAGTCGATCGGAAAATGTTAGTCAGAACATCAGCGAAGCATCCAGCGAAGGTTTTGAGATTTCTGAAGGATCAAAGGACCCCAAAAACAGATCCATAAGAAGAAAAAAGTTGACACCAAATCAGAGACTGGGTGTTGCGTTCCTCACCACTAAAGCCAGAAGGAAGAAAGGTGTCAGTGGTGGGAAATTAATGAGCAGCCTGTCTATTTTACATCAAGCTACCTTGGCTAATTTAACGGAAACAACTCCTGCTTACACAGATAAGACAGATGATAATAAAGTCAATTATGATGACGTTATGTTTAAGCTCGCACTATTTTCTCCACCAGATTCAGATAAAGAGGATTCATCACCACCAATGCCTTCGTCACCTTCTGAGGATATAGTAATTGATCTATTTCCTAAAAAATCACTACCTAATTTAACATCGGAAAGTCCTGAACCCCTGTTAGAAGTAAAGGTTTGTCCAGAAGAGATAAAAGAAAAATGCTTAAAACCTTTGGAAATTGATGTGAAATATATGAAACCAGATGTAAAACCACATTTAAGTGCTGAAGGAATCTACGAAACTCCACTTTCCAGTGTTGAAACCCATAAAGCAGAACCTGCATTTTCACCTAGTCTGGCATCAGTCGGTAGTTCTGAAAATGATTATAATGCAGGAATGCCAGAATTAAAAGATGAAACTGTAGCAATGGAGAATGATGATGTGGAGAATGACGATTTCTGGATGGAAGAAAGATTTTCTAAAACCCGTAAGCCACCTAAAACTGCTGTTGTAAAACTAGCAACTTTATCTTTCTCAGATATTTCTAGTTTTAATGCTGCCAGGAAAAACAGCAAAGAAATTTCATCGTCTCCTCCAGACCTTGGCCCTCCTAATATTCCTGCATACCCTACACACATCGTATCAGAATATCTTAGAGAAAAATCTCCTCCTCCACCGAACCTTACACCTAATCGATCCCCTAGAGCTTGTGATCCTGATGTTTTGATGAATGCTAGTGGAAACCCTGGTTGGACACCTGATAATTCTGTGATGAAACTATTAGCTTACAGACCAAAACCATTTTCACCACCTGAGGTTAAGAATACTTTAAATATATCAGAGGAAATTTCAAAAGATAGCTTGGATAGTACCCAACTCAGTTTGGGAGATGGCACCAAACCACTTCCATGTGAAACACAATGTGATAGAATGATAATAAATAAAAGTGCTTCAGCTGATTCATCAATAAACATGGAGACAGAAACAACATCTGAAATAATAGCATCCTCGTCCAAATCTAGTCATAATTCAAAATTAAAAGACAATTATAGTCTTCATCCTCAAGTTATCAGTAATCAGGGTAAATTGCATAATATTGATAAACTAAGTGATCATACAAATACCTCAGGAAATGCCTTGGATAATAGTAAAATAGTGTCTTATTTAAAATCACCATCTGACTTTGTAGCAGCAAATATACCTGCAATGAAGGATGTTGAAGCTATGCCTGCTATACCGTCACTCTCACAAAGAAATCTGTGGACGGATATAACATGTGCGAGTGTAGATTCCTCGAATGAACACAAAAAGAAACAAAAATACAAAAAGAAACATGAAATGTTTAATAGTAATGGTCTGTGTTCATCTCCTCTCAAGGACATGCCTAAAACTGAACATGAAAATAACACATCAAACTCCAATCCCAGTCCAACGCCCATCAATGATAAAATAGAAACTAAAAACATAGACTCGGTGATAATAAAGCCTTTAAACATGCCACCTCTTCGTTCAACTGTAGTAGAATCAGCTCAGTCACATGGTCTTAATTTAACCAATCATAAAGAAGCATTTTGCAGCAATCCTGATGACATGCCTGATAGATCAAGGTAAGGTTCATTAGGATTTTAATCTATTAAGTTTTGAAAATAAAAAAAGAAAAGTGGACTCCTAAAAGAATATTTTCAAAAAAATATGCAGAAAATTGGAAATTGGTGATATTCAAGTTGTGCTGACAGCTTTTTTGCAAGAATTAAAATTTTAATTTGTAGATACACCCATTGCTACTGTATAAGTTTGCATGTAAATTTAGTTTCAAATGCAAGTGCATGAATAAACATTGTTTTCATATCTAGATATTGAATTGGCATGAGAGGATCATTTTAATGTTTTTGATTAGGTTCTGTACCCATAAATGTCGTGTAGCAAAGTGTGTTTATTTTACCATTATTGCATGGAAATTTAAGAAACAAATAGGCCAACGCTGTGTACAGATCCTACAATCGTAGAAGGAAATTAAAACTTTTGAATAGCCAAGAATTATTTTCTCGAAATGCTTCCCTTTTTTATGTTGCTTATATCTTACTAAAGATGTTATTTTGTTTCTACTAGATGTAGAAGTTAACCGTCACTTTTTGTTCTTCGCGAAATTGATTTTTTTTTATAATATAGAGAGGAGAGAGAAATTGAATTTAACGTCTGATCAACACAAACTATGTTGTTTTGGGACTAACATGAAACAATTTGCTTGCGCTTTGTCTTTATCAGTGGAAGGAAACTGGAGGACCCATAGAGAAAATCCTTGAGGTTAGACAGGCGACCTTTCTCCTTGTCACGTGCAAGTGTGTTCCAAACCATGTTACATGATCGAAAGCGCATGCGTTAGGTCCATCGGCCACCAAACTTGCATTTTTATAACACAATACTTGTTCTGTCTGGTAAATAATTATTGATGTTGTGATTTGGATAAAACCATGGTAATACTTTGTGTTTTTAGGGAAGTAGGTGGTCGAGTTATAAAGCTAGAATCTAATCTGGTGAGATTATCTTTTTATGGTCTTATCTTTTTACAAGAATAAAATCATCTCATTTATCACGAGAAGAATCACCTAGTTAAATCTGAGACTCATTCACATGATCATAGACCATTTCTTTTTTACATGTATTCATGGTATTTGGTACATAATGACTGTTTATATTATTATGGTTTTTGGAATACATGTTTCTACATTATTTATTTTCATATTTTGTTTTCTTATATTAAGCGACTCGGAAATTTTTTCTAAAAAGAAAATTTGTAGAGATTAAAAGCAAGCATAATGGTACTTTTGGAATATGCTAATCCCAATTTCTTTTCATATTTTATTTTTCTGTAATATGTGACTCGTGACTCGTAAATTTATCTAACAAACAAATTGTAGAGATTAAAAGCATGAACATGGTAATTTTGGAAGATTCAAATCTACCTTTTTCTATTTTCATATTTTGTTTTCCTATGATAAACTTCAGCTGATCAGAAATATTGTAGAGATTAGAAGCAAGATCAAATTATAAAATCATTTTATTTTTAATGACTGTTATATTATGAACAATCTAATAAAAGTGAAATACAAATGGAAAAGGACCTGTATGGACTTCAGTAGTACAGCATTATATACTATTCAAAAAAAGTAGGGGATATTTGATTTTGGGGGCATAATACTAAAATATGCAAATGACTACGAAAAAAGTCACTATAGAACCTAACAGAAGAAACATTTCCAGTTACATGTGACGCCCAAACGCACCAATAGCTACCGCATGGAATGCAGGTGATGCTTGGGATCATCATGGGGGTCCAACCCAAGATTTGCACGACTCTGACTTTGAATGTTACAGTCATTGTGGCATTGAATTCCAGGGTGGAAACATCAGTTTAATTGTTTTAGTGATCAGAAAACAAATTTTGATATGCGTCGGCTTACCCAAAATGAAAGGTTACGTGCCCTTGGCATGCTACAGATCGGCACAACACAGGCGGTTGTGGCGTGGACGATGAATGTTTCTCAGTCTGTCATAAGCAGGCTATGGTCCAGATACCGTGATACACAATCTGTACAGGACAGACCACGCTCAGGTCGACCAAGGGCGACAACTCAAGCCCAGGATCGATTTATCCGTACCTTGGCCTTGAGAAATCGTGTCATCACAGCAAATCAGATCAGCGCTCGTCTTCAAACAGACTCTGATGTGAGAGTGAGTGGCCAGACGATTCGGAATCGACTGCATAGGGGTCACCTTCGCGCCCGACGTCCTCGCGTGATCCCTTGTTTGAGAGATCATCACATTCAGGCAAGACGTCGTTGGTGTAGGGATCATCAACACTGGGATAATCGACGCTGGAGCAATGTGATGTTTTCAGATGAGTCAAGGTTCACTGTTGATTTTTTGGACAGACGTAGGAGGGTGTGGCGTCGTCGAAACGAGCGCTTCCAAGACGTTAACGTCATCAGACATGATCGATTTGGGGGTGGTTCTGTTATGGTGTGGGGAGGCATCACTGTTGCTGGAAGAACGGCTTTACATGTTGTTGCAGGGCGTGTTACAGGCCAGTACTACCGGGACAACATCTTGGCAGTCCATGTTGTGCCGTTCGCACGACGTCATGGCCGCCGTTTCATCTTCCAGGATGACAACGCAAGATGTCACAGGGCCAGGATCGTTACAGGTTACCTCCAACAACAGAACATCACCACATTACCTTGGCCAGCACTGAGTCCCGACCTCTCCCCCATCGAGCATGTCTGGGACATGCTTGGACAGAGGTTACGTCAACGTCAACAACGTCCTGCCAATGTCCAAGAACTTGCTGCTGCGTTGCAACAGGAATGGGACAATCTGGACCAAAATGACCTTAGACGTCTCATTAGGAGTATGCCACGTCGGATCAATGCTTGTTTGGCAAACAGAGGAGGATTTACCCGTTACTGACTTGGTTGTGATGCTGTGGTAACTTTGTTGTTTGACCCCGGGTATCATTTTACCCTTATTATGGTCAGTCTGTGCCTTACTTAGTCTAACGATCATTTGGAATAAATCGATGAATGTGAACTTCATTTCATTTTGTCATTTGTTTCTTCGTCAGTTTCATTAGGTGACTTTAATAACACTTAAAAATCAAATATCCCCTACTTTTTTTGAATAGTATATGATATATTTTATAGATTATAGATTGCTGTACCTGTAACATTCAGTAATTTTTTGATTACCAAATCAATCATGTTTTTCTAGAGACGAGAAAACCCTTCTAGTTTGGGATGACCCAGCATGCTAATGATTTTATTTTACGGAACTTCAAACATCACCTTATTCATCTTTTTTTTAAAAAAATTTATAATTGTGTTTTTTTTTAATTCTTTCTTAAAATTTTATTATTTGTCTTTTTTCTCTTTGTTTTGCTGTCTATGTGGAAATTTTTATATGCTTTTTAGCATTTTTGTATCAGTGATTGTGGTTATAATACTTCTATTATGATATTAAAATAATGATACTGCTCGATTTGTGAAAGTACTCCACGTTTAGACTCTTAAATTATTACGATTCAAAATTGTTTTGTTTTAATTGAACTGCGATTGGGAATGAATACAGAAGATGTACATGTAGTATTTAGGATTTCATTTGATTAAATTTTATATAAACATAATTTTTCGTAATTATTAATTTTGTTTATAGAAATTAGAAAATAAGGCGCAAAATTATTGTAGTATAATTATGATACTTGTCCTTTAGTCACTTGAAACTTAATTTTTAATCAAACAACAGACGCATTCTTGCCTGTGATAAAGTTTTGTCAGATTTATTGCTTCAGATATAAGTTAGTTTAACACAAGAAAAAAGTTACATGATCTTGTGGTTGTATGTAATATAGTTAATATTTCTATACTGTATTTAAGCATATGTTTATCCAAACCGAGTGCTATAAACAGAAAAATCTTTTTTATCCAAATTGAACTAAAAACAGAAATGTATTTTTCGTCATACAAGTAAAAGAGTCGATAAGACTTATTAACTGCATTTTTTTTTCCTTGCTATGTGATTCGCTGTTGTAAATTTCATTTAAGATTTAGATTGGCTTTTTGAGTAATTGAGTAAATGTTTATATGTATTTATTCAAGATTGGCTTTTTGAGTAATTGAGTATATATTTATTCTAAATTATTTCCCCTTGCCTTGCTTGCTGATCATACCCACAGTTTGATTTATCACAATTTTGTAATCTCTGTTGTCTGGAATCAGTTTATGAAATATTGAAATTTCATAATGATTATTAAATTTTTATTTGTAGATAAAAGATCTCCAGGAGTTCAAAACTTCCAGTTCTTCTGAAAATTTGAAGAATTGGAGATCAATTTTAGCAGCAAATGGAGAGGAAAATTTATTTTCTTCTCAGGAAAGAGAAAGTTTGTGGGAAAGATTAGAGAAAGATCCACAATTTAAATTTATGTTATCAGAAGATCGCAAACAAGTCATTGTACCATGTCGATACCCACCGTCCAGGTCCGAAGTTTCTCATTGGCTGAATAAAAAAGTTGATAAACTGTCTGGAAACAAAAAGAAACCAGAGGCTTTCAACAAGGTCATGCAAAATGAGAGTGCGGATTTGGAATATAGTGATAGAAAACATTTTGTTCCTTTAGATATTGAAACTGACATTTGTGATAGGGAAGAAAATTCTGTGTGCAATGATGACTTAAGGACAGATAACTCTATGTGCAATGATAAATCAGGAATAGATAACTCTATTTCTAGTTTAGGTTGTGATTCTATGTTTGAATGTAGTACTGTTGTTGAAAAGGATGCAATTGTGATTGAGAATGTTTTAAACACTTGTGAAGTAGTTTTATCGCAGGATGGAACAGAAATAATAAATACTAACGAAGAGCAGGACGGCTCACCTAAAAGTGTAAAGATTACACGATTAAAAAGAACAGTATCTGAAGGTGAAATTATGTTTAATTGCGAAGAAGAAGTTGAAATTCTTAGCCCGACTCATCAAGATAAAAAGTCTTGTACTCGCTGGGACCAAAAAGAACTTTCACTGTCAAAACGTAAAAACATTGAATTTGGTGAGTCTGATTTTCTTCATAGCACCCCAGTGCGACGTGTTACAAAAGATTTATTTGAACCATCTTGTACTCCTATACATATAGATTCAAACAGGGACCCACAGATAAAAGGTGACGGGAACCCTCCTGGCATGTTTGTAACCCCTAAAAGACCTGTGCCCCCTAGGCGAATCTCCACAAATACAGAAAATACCTTACGACGGTCGATTTTGACATCACAGATGAAGGTTGGTGTGAATAACAACTCTGCATGCTTGATTGAATATATGCATGGCTTCATTAATTGACCTCACATTACTAATCCCTCATGTATTTATTTAAATTTACTAATACCTCATTACCAATTAATTTTGTAAGACCTTGATGATCACTCATTGATTTACTAATCCCTCCCATATTCATTTGATTTACTAAATCTCAATTGGTAAAATTTTAATTTCCATACCATTTATTATCACACTCATTGATAATAACCCCCATTACTAATTAATTTACTGAACATTATGTACTAGTTGATTTACTAATCCCACTTTCCCATAGATATTTGTTCTTGTATTCATTACTAATTGATTTACTAATCCTTCATTACTGATTAATTTACATAACCTATTTATTATCATACTCATTGATTTACCAATCCACTTTTACTTATTCATTTACGTACCATATTTATTATCACACTCATTGATTTACTAAGCCCCTTTTACTAATTGATTGATTTACATCACATATTCATTATTGTACTCATTGATTTACTAATCTCCCATTAGTAATTAATTTACATATTTATTCATTATTGTTCTAAATGATTTACTAATGCTTCCATTGATAATTAATTTACTAATCCTTATCATTATGCTACAAATTGATCCCCAATTAGTAATTATTTTACATAACATATTCATTATTGTACTAATTGATTCCTGTGTTAGTAATTAATTTTCATAATGTACAAACTGGGTGATTTGATGATATATACTATTCAAAAAAAGTAGGGGATATTTGATTTTGGGGGCATAATACTAAAATATGCAAATGACTACGAAAAAAGTCACTATAGAACCTAACAGAAGAAACATTTCCAGTTACATGTGACGCCCAAACGCACCAATAGCTACCGCATGGAATGTAGGTGATGCTTGGGATCATCATGGGGGTCCAACCCAAGATTTGCACGACTCTGACTTTGAATGTTACAGTCATTGTGGCATTGAATTCCAGGGTGGAAACATCAGTTTAATTGTTTTAGTGACCAGAAAACAAATTTTGATATGCGTCGGCTTACCCAAAATGAAAGGTTACGTGCCCTTGGCATGCTACAGATCGGCACAACACAGGCAGTTGTGGCGCGGACGATGAATGTTTCTCAGTCTGTCATAAGCAGGCTATGGTCCAGATACCGTGATACACAATCTGTACAGGACAGACCACGCTCAGGTCGACCAAGGGCGACAACTCAAGCCCAGGATCGATTTATCCGTACCTTGGCCTTGAGAAATCGTGTCATCACAGCAAATCAGATCAGCGCTCGTCTTCAAACAGACACTGGTGTGAGAGTGAGTGGCCAGACGATTCGGAATCGACTGCATAGGAGTCACCTTCGTGCCCGACGTCCTCGCGTGATCCCTTGTTTGAGAGATCATCACATTCAGGCAAGACGTCGTTGGTGTAGGGATCGTCAACACTGGGATAATCGACGTTGGAGCAATGTGATGTTTTCAGATGAGTCAAGGTTCACTGTTGATTTTTTGGACAGACGTAGGAGGGTGTGGCGTCGTCGAAACGAGCGCTTCCAAGACGTTAACGTCATCAGACATGATCGATTTGGGGGTGGTTCTGTTATGGTGTGGGGAGGCATCACTGTTGCTGGAAGAACGGCTTTACATGTTGTTGCAGGGCGTGTTACAGGCCAGTACTACCGGGACAACATCTTGGCAACAACAGAATATCACCACATTACCTTGGCCAGCACTGAGTCCCGACCTCTCCCCCATCGAGCATGTCTGGGACATGCTTGGACAGAGGTTACGTCAACGTCAACAATGTCCTGCCAATGTCCAAGAACTTGCTGCTGCGTTGCAACAGGAATGGGACAATCTGGACTAAAATGACCTTAGACGTCTCATTAGGAGTATGCCACGTCGGATCAATGCTTGTTTGGCAAACAGAGGAGGATTTACCCGTTACTGACTTGGTTGTGATGCTGTGGTAACTTTGCTGTTTGACCCCAGGTATCATTTTACCCTTATAATGGTCAGTCTGTGCCTTACTTAGTCTAACGATCATTTGGAATAAATCGATGAATGTGAACTTCATTTCATTTTGTCATTTGTTTCTTCGTCAGTTTCATTAGGTGACTTTAATAACACTTAAAAATCAAATATCCCCTACTTTTTTTGAATAGTATATTTGGACTAAAAACATATTCAAACTAATTAATTTATCATAATTTTGCTTCAAATCCTTCTCAAAACATTGTAATTGCCAAGGAATACCTCTGCTATAAAAAATCGATCAAAAGAGGACATGTTTGTGTCACATGACTTACATCTCTCGGTACCTAGAAACACGTTTGAAGTTGGAGGAGAATTCATTGCATACACAAGATGATGTTGTCTTTAATCGCTGACTATTTATTAGAAATATCGAAACCTAATTAAATTCTCAGATTTTCCACTGCCCCCATCTTTTTCCGTGATTTTTTATCTCCGAAAGTGTTGTACATGTACGTCTAACTCTTCATAAAGTTTATCAACATGTACATCAAGTGCTCAATCTCTGCGTGCATCCTTTAATGTCACACATGCAGATATTCCTAATCATAGGGCTGCCATACTTTTATTGGAAATAACCACCCAATAAATACTTTTCTAGGAACGTATCTTTAATAATCCCCAAATGTTCTTTACATGCATATAGAAGTTTCTGCTCTATTGCCTCCCAGGGAGCCACAGGGGCTAAGAGGGTAAGATGCTGGCATGCTAGCCTGGAGGTCGTGTGTTCAATCCCTGCATTGGCCGAGAAAGTTCATTGGGATTTTCTGGTGTGGTTTCCCCTTGTCAGTTGTGCAGGTCAGAGGGCCTGACAAGGACAGCTGTCTAGTCATGCACATAAAAGATCCCTTGGCAGTTGGAATTCAATATATGAGTAGGCCATATTGGCGCTGTCCAGCCAAAATTTCCCTCATAGCACACAGTAGGACGTTAAACCTTAACCCCATTTCATTTTCTGTTGCCTTCCAATCCTCCAAGTCATACATTTTTTGCTTAAATATCAACAATTTTCCTCCTTCACATATAGATATTAGTGTTCAGTTATCTTCTACTAATAATGCCAGTTGATGCCATTGTATGATGGTAAACATTTTCTTGAATTGGAAACCCCCAAAAAGAGGAGGATGATTACATTCACAGGGGTGTTGACTGGCCGATTTGGGTAATTTGTGTGCTTTAGGTTGTAAGGTCTGCCATTGAGTCAGGTGGCGTGGTTTCTAATCCTTGCATGTATGTATGTCAAGGAGGAGTAGGGTTGTCTCTCCAGCCTTATTTATCTCTTTCCCACTCCATTGACTCCCAGATATTGGCAAATGGATAAATTGTAATTTAATTTATGATAACAGTAGCTGTTGAAGAATTTAATGCGAACGTTTCATTAAATTTGTCAGCTGTAATCGTAAAGCACTCAAGCCAATTTTTGTTGTTTTCCCCAGCTGCCCATCTTGTCTCTGGTGATCGGTTTACTAAACCATTTCTCTTTGATTTAAAATGGTCATTTTCATTAAAGATTTGTTCTCCATTTGCCTCATTGGTTTCTTAAATAAGATTTAAACAAAAGTCATTATTATTTGATATGCCATTGTAAATTATTCATCATAATTTGGATGCAGCCTTTGGGACCATCGCAAAATTGCATCACTTGCGTTCGAAAGAATAACCTGCAGAACTGGGTGGGTGGGGTTGAACGACACTGCAGATAGAAAATGATAAATTAAATGTTGAATAATGAACAGAAATATACCAACAGTTTCTTACTCTTGTCTCGGGGTCTGTGGTGGCTCAGTGAGTAAGACGTTAGCTCGCTAAGATGGAGGTTCTGTGTTCGATGCCAGTTTTTGGGTGAGACACTTAATCAGGATTTTCCCGTGCAGTTCCCACTTGTCATTGATGCAGGACAAAGGACCTGGCAAGGGGTAAGGTATAGTTGTTTTGATAGGGCAAATAACTGAGGTCCTATATACACACAAACGTGCACAGAAAAGAACCCTGGCAGGCGGAATTTGATATAAGAGAACTCCCATCTTCATTAGCCCAGTCGGAGCAGAATAGTGGGACGTTAAACCCCATTTCATTTCACTTACTCTGTCGGTGCTAATGGACAGGTGGATGGGTGTACGTGTATGGGTCGAGATCTATCTATTGGTTATTCATTGGGATGCAAGTGTTGAAATTTTGTAACTGTACCTTATTTTTAAATGACTAGTGCATGCAAGTACTAGATGTAGCAGTAGCACCCCCTTTAGTATTATTGCTGATATAATATAATTATCAAGCACCAAGATAAGGCACCTACATGTACCTGTCAAAGCCTTTGTCAGACGCAAGTTATCGCACAATGTTTTGTGTCTTGACAGGTGCCTTATTTGGGGCTTGTATACATGTACAATGTATATAGTTGTGAGATGATTTATACTTTTTAAAGTTGTATTTAACTAATAAATTAAATAATTATTTACAAGTACAATGATTGATTCAACTCCTTGTAATTGGTATATATTTGTTAAAAAAAACAAATCATTGTTTTTATAGAATCAGTTGCTAACTCCTGACCAATCAAAAGGCGACACATCACAAATTGACGGACCAACACCTAAAAATAGTTTTGGATTTAAAATAACTCAACATGATTTACAGAATGCTAAAGCTCTTCATCGGGTAAGATTTTAAATGATTTGTATTTTTATTGAGAGTCGTAATGAGAGGTGTCCTAGCAATGGCAGGAGGTAAATGATCAACAAAAATATCTAGATGTTATTAAATCATACATGTACATGTAGGCATATAATTCAAAATGCAGCAAGAATAAAACTGAATTGAAATTTTTGAATATAGCTGTAGTGAGTGAGAAATGATAAATGCATACTCTGTAAAATAGAAATAAAATGAAGTTATTAAAGATAGATTATGTAAAATTTAAATAAAGATCTGGACGTTCTTGCTATAATAGTTAAAAAAATAGATACATGTAATGCAAACTAAATATATTGAAAATTTAAGTCAAATTACTTTATTCTGAGCTAAGTTATCACCATTTGTAGTTTTAGCAAGATATGTGCATTGATTGTTTATTATCGTAACCACAGTACTGGTATATTAGAGACTTAAACTCGCGTCTTCATTTTTAAATTGAATCAATAAATGGCCGAACCATTCTAATCTAGTTGAAATCTCCAGTATCCGAGGTCATTGAGAGCTGATTATGGTCTTGTCATGTTAATAAATGTCTAATTGATAATTTATATAAGGCCTAAAGAAATTCCTGCAATCAGCAAATTTAGCTCTTGAATAATGTATCTTTAACATCTTACCTTGCCATCTGAATGACCAGACACTGTTCCTTGCCAGACATCCCAGCCTGCACAATGGGGAAATCATGTCCGAAAATCCTGAGCAATCCTAAGACTACCTCCTGGAAAAGCAAGCCAGCTTCTTAATAACCACTGTGGCTCCCTGTAAAATATGCATGGAAGAATATTGCTTGGTATCCTGGTTCATCGTGTAGTTTTGCATTGATAGAGACTTTCACTAGATTTATATATTTTATTTCAGCACCAATATTTAACTGTTATGAGTATAGAATTACATATAGAAACCCGAGGCGACCTTTCACCTGATCCTGCATATGACCCCATACAGGTTATATTTTACTCTGTATTTAACGATGTCCCAGAAGACGAAGGTCTTCGCTTCATAACTGGCGCTATTGTAGTTGACAAAAACTCAGTTCCAGAAGATATCCAAAAGAAAAGAATAGAAACACCTAAGAAAGGTAAAGGAAGGTCAAGGTCTGTGTCACCTAAACCTAAAAGATCAAGGTCGCCACAGCCTTCAACATCAACAGCCGATCCTGATACTTTGCCAAAATCTTCAACTCGTTCCAGATCCGTTTCACCGAAACCTTCTCCTAAATTTAAAGAATTTAAGGCAGATGTGTCGCCCAAACCGTCAACATCGAAATCACCGAAACCATCAACATCTAAATCGCCCCAACCATCAACTTCTAGATTACCCCAACCATCAACTTCTAGATCACCCCAACCATCAACTTCTAGATCATCCCAACCATCAACTTCTAGAGCCAACTCATCACAGGCCAAGCAACCGAAAACCTTACTACAGAAATCAGGAGTAGATAACTTGATATTAACGTACGTAACAGATGAACAGGAATTATTAGAAGAATTCATTCAGCTTACTCACAAGTAAGTTATATATTTACATGACTGTGATGAATTAACTTCTTACTAAAAGTAGTAATATTGGGTGGAAGAATCCCTGGTCTAAAAGTATTTATAGAGCGGGAGCCCAGGGGGTTAACCTAGCTGAAAAGTGTGCCAATTTTCTCCTATATGGTATCAATGCATGTATATCTGGTATCATCAGAATTTAAGTCTGCCAGGTTTCTGGTGGTGGGTTTGGTATTCCACGCCCAAAATGTCATGCCCCCCAACTAGGCTAGATTAGCTCAAAAGTGTACCACACGAAAATCTTACTGCAGTGTACCGTACATCTTCAGGTGTTACAAAAACACTCTGACAAACATTTTATAGTGGTGGGTAACCCCTGACAGAGCTATGTAATTGCCAGACATTTGTAGTGGTGGAGTATCCCTGACAAGAGTTATCTAATTTCCAGACTACAGATAGGCTAGATTAGCTGAAATCTGTACCACCTAAAACAGCTTTGGAGTTGTTCAGTACCACTACAGGAATCATGAATGACCACTGCCAGACAGTTTTGCAGTGGGTTACCCCTAACAGACACGCCCAAAATGCCACGGCCCCCCCCCACTACGATAGATTAACCGGCACTGTTCCCGTGGTTCAAAAAATTAAAAATTGTGCCAGGATGTGTAAAATACTAATAATACCTAGCATGTATGGAAGAGGCGATACCCTACGGTTGCAGGAACAATTTTTTTTTTCAAAAACGCATTTTTAGCCCCATAAAACGTTTTATGCCCAAAAATCAATTTCTTGTAACAGCAGTTTATCGCCTCTTCCATACATGCTAGGTATTAGTATTCTAAGCATCCTGGCTAAAAATTTAATTTTTTAGAACACGGGAACAGTGCCCGCTAATCTAGATTAGTTGTGGCCGTGGTGTTTTGGGGGTGTCTATTAGGGGTAACCCACCACACAAACTGTCTGGCAATGGTCATTCATGATTCCTGTGGTGGTACTGAACAACTCCAAAGCTGTTTTAGGTTTTACAGACTTCAGCTAATCTAGCCTAGCTATGGTTTGGAAATTAGATAACTCTTATCAGGGATACTCCACCACTACAAATTTCTGGCAATTACATAGCTCTGTCAGGGGTAAACCACCACTAGAAATGTCTGTCAGTGTGTTTTTGTAACACCTGAAGATGTACGGTACACTGCAGTACGATTTTCATGTGGTACACTTTTGAGCTAATCTAGCCTAGTTGGGGGGCATGAAATTTTGGGCGTGGAATACCACACCCACCACCAAAAACACAGCAGACTTACATTCTGATACCAGATATACATGCATTGATACCATATAGGAGAAAATTGGTACACTTTTCAGCTAGGTTGACCCCCTGGGCTCCTGGTCTATTGTTCTAACTAAGACACGTTTCGGGAGGGAGCCCTTATTACAATTTCCAACTGTCAGGGGACCTACGATGCACTTTTATCAAGTGATCCAAATATTATGGTTGGCTATTGATGGGATCCAAATATTATGGTTGGCTATTGATGTGATTCTGATGTTAGTTATTATATTATATGAGGACTTACTTTAAATTGTAGATGGGATCCTGATATATTGGTTGGCTATGAGATACAGATGCTATCATTAGGTTATATATTACAAAGAGCAGCACAACTTAGTTTAAATATCTGCCCCAAATTATCACGTTTACCTGGTAAGTATATGTACAATACAATTTATTGATATGTAGATGTCATAAATTTGATAATTCAGCAGACAAATAACAATTTGTAACTTAATCCACAGATGCCTTGATGCTAATTTGCATTGCCATCCCGGAAATTGAATTGCATTCATTCTAACTGAGCAATTAGGGTAAATCGTTTTGATAAAAACTGCGAATAGGTAAAATGGATTCCTGTTTGTAAAAACACCCACAGTACACCTTTTTGGGGTAATACATGTCTGCGTCACAATGAAAGTATGTCATAATGGTAACAAAAACTGAGATCATGTGTAGGGACACTCATACAATTACACTGCTGTCTTGGAAAAATTCTACCACTAATATCCCACACATTCAAATTGTCAGTTTTTGTTTCTTTACATTCTTTACATCAGTTATGATCTGTAGGTGGTTTAAATACAAGCATTCTGTCATTACGTATGTATTAGTTAAATAAAGCCTATCAAAGTTTCGCTGATTTCTGAAAATTATTTGCAGAGTTACTGCCATTTATTACTTTACAAATTCTTATGAATGTTCTCTCTTGAGTCAATGCAGGACGGAGGGGCTGTCTAGTCGTTCAGATGGGACAAAAAACCGAGGTCCCGTGTACACATTGGCGTGCACGTAAAAGATCCCTTGACAGTTGGAATTCGATATAAGAGTAGGCCGTAGTGCCGCTGTCCGGGCAAAATTTCCCTCATAGCACACTGTATGGCGTATGCCCGTCTTCATTAGCCCAGGTTAGGAGCAGAACAGTAGGACGTTAAACCCCATTTCATTTCATTTCATTTTCTCTTGAGTCAGCTACAGGTCACATTGAGATGAAATAATTCTGTACTGACATAATTTCATGTAATTTTTATTTTAGACTGTAAAGAAGGCAATCGTTTTAGTGCTGAGAAAGATAAATGGGGAGCTGATCATAATTCCGAGATACATATTGCTGGCCGCATTGTTTTAAACTTGTGGAGAATTTTACGTCATGAGGTAATCATCATCCCAATGAAGATGAGTACACTGTAATCATCCCAATATACATCAGTACAGTGTAATCATTCCAAAAAACATGGGTACACTGTGTATTCATCTCAATATACAAGCATACACTGTGTAGCCTTCCCAATAAACATGGGTACTCTGTGTATTCACCCCAATATACATGGGTACACAGTGTAACCTGCCCAATAAACATGGGTACACTGTATATTCATCTCAATATACATGTAATCTTCCCAATAAACATGGGAACACTGTGATCATCCCAATAGTACTTCGGTACACAGTAATCATCCCAATAATATACATTGGTACACTGTTGTCATCCCAAGAAATATTTATATATATTGTTCAATCCCAGTTTTGGCCAAAAGAGTTTCTGGAGATATTCCTGTGTGATTTTCCCTTGTCAGTCATTCAGAACAGAGAGCTTGGGAAGCAGAAAACTAGGATGTTAAACCCCATTTTATTTCATATATATTTTCAGGTTACATTAAATATTTATGATTTTGAGAATGTCGCACATCATGTTTTACATCAACGTATACCACTGTATTCCTTCCGTTCCTTAACTACATGGTTTAATCATAGAACACATCTTTACAGGTAATTATAGGCTTTTATATCAACTAACATATAAATCTGATTAAAATACAGATCTACATTTCATTTCCTTTTTATACGCCCACATTGAAATGTGGTCGTATATTGTCGTCGCCCCCGTCCGTCCGTCCGGCGTCCACAATTGCTTGTGGACGCTCTAGAGGCTAAAGTTAATATCTGATTGACTTTAAATTTATACACAGTGTTTAAGGTCCTGAGACGAAGAAGCCTATTGATTTTCAGCGAATTCCGATAATTACTGCCAGAGTTATGGCCCTTGATCACTTTGAAAAATCTTGTGGACGCTCTAGAGGCCAAAGTTAATATCCAATTGACCTTAAGTTTGTACACAGTGTTTGAGGTCATGAGACAAAGAAGCCTATTGATTTTCAACGATTTCCGATAATTACTGCCAGAGTTATGGCCCTTGATCACTTCAAAAAATCTTGTGGACGCTCTAAAGGCCATAGTTAATATCCGATTGACATTAAATTCATACACAGTGTTTAAGGTCATAAGATGATGAAGCCTGTTGGTTTTCAGCGATTTCTGATAATTACTGCTAGAGTTATGGCCCTTGATCAATTCAAAAAATCTTGTGGATGCTCTAGAAGCCAAAGTTAATATTCGATTGACTTTAAATTTATATACAGTGTTTATGGTCATGAGACGAAGAAGCCTGTTGATTTTCAGCGATTTTCAATATTTGCTGCCAGAGTTATGGCCCTTGATCACTTTGAAAAATCTTGTGGACGCTCTAGAGGCCAAAGTTAATATCCGATTGACTTTCAATTTATACACAGTGTTTAAGGTCATGAGACGAAGAAGTCTATTGATTTTCAGCGATTTCCGATAATTACTGGGAGAGTTATAGCCCTTGATCACTTCAAAAAATCTTGTGGATGCTCTAGAGTCTAAAGTTAATATCCGATTGATTTTAAATTTATACACAGTGTTTGAGGTCATGAGACGAAGATTCCTATTGATTTTCAACGATTTCCGATAATTACTGCCAAAGTTATGGCCCTTGAAAACTTTGCAAAATCTTGTGGACGCTCTAGAGGCTAAAGTTATCATCTGATTGACTTCAGATTGATACACAGAGTTTAAGATCAAGTATATTGATTTTCAATGAATTTTTATGTCTTGAACAGTTAAATCCATGATATTAAAAGCTTTGCATACAAAACGTTAGCATGGGGAAGAACTTTATAAAAACCAAACAAATTCTAATAGTTTTCTGATAATTACTTCGTGAGTTGTTGCTCTTAATCAGATTTTAGTGTATTATAAATGTTTCATATGCGACAACCCTTGTTGACTGCCCGGACGATTTAGCTGCTGTGGGCGTATGTTTCGTTGCCTGGCAAACTATCTTTTTATACTGTCAATGGCCCGGAAGCTTATTGACGCTATTTCCTGAAGCTGACAAACGATTTCTGTTGACCTAATTCTGGCCTCTATTAACCTTAACTAAAAATGTCCAACAAGCAAAATTTTGAAGTAACACCCCTGAAAACAAAATCAAAATACAAATGCTAGATAATCTCCTGGGCTGGATTCAGTGGGATTTAAAACAGGCTGATCAATTCTGTCTGCCCACAAAAAAATGGCTGTGGATTTATACATAGGGAGCAGCATAGGTTGCTGAAATTTCTATTCAACACATCTTTCTAAATATTGAACGGAATTGAACCATGTTTTGACTATTAGATATTATACTTTCACAATATTGTAGTTTACAAGGGAATCCTTATTGTTCTAACATGAGACAATGAGACTTTGATAAAATAATTATGTCAAAATTTTGATTCAAACTAGATCTATTAAGATGGCAGATGGGGATAATCAACAATTTCTTGTTTTGTTTTGTTTTTGATACTTTCTCAAGTTTTCACTTTATCATACCATGATATGCATAGTATCTTTGCACAGATCTGAATGAAATTATGCCTTAGGTAGTTGATTGTGTATTACTGAAAGAAGGTACGTCTTCATTGTTGATGCAAGTCATTGTTAAGGGAAATGGTCTCTTTTCACTGGTTCAGTTAAGCAGGTTGAATCAATTGTATTGATATTAATAAACATATTAGTGAGTGTAGGAGGACCATAGTACATGCAAAACAAAATCGATAAGACAAACATGCAGACAAGACAAACTAACATGTACACAAGTCATTGCCAGAAATAAACAACAAAATCAAATGGAGTGAATGGATCGAGGCAACAGCTGTAAGCGTCCATTGCACTGTAGGTTAAGTTTGTAGGACAAAGAAGATAAACCATCATTGCCGCTGCAAGTTATTGCTTAGGGAAATGCTCAATAAGTGATGTGTTTCAGATGTCCAGTCCTTGATAAAAGGCAAAAATGATCAAACTAGCTGGCTTAGTGCAGAAAAATAAGACATTATATTGAATCCCATTTTCTTTCGTGGAATCTGTATTATATGAATTTGTATTATAATGTTATAAAGTAGAGAATATTTAATTCTATATTACAGATGGCGTGTTATAGATCATTATACGATACGAGTTAAAGCTATATTACAAATAATAGATCAGTTAGATCTTATTGGACAAACAAGTGAATTTGCTCGAGTATTTGGAATAGAATTTTATGATGTTTTATCGAGAGGTTCACAGGTAAATGGTGTTTTATTTCCTTCTTCTCTGAATTCTTTGGATTATATCTAAATTGGTAGCGTGTTTCTGTACCATTATCAATCATTTATTATAATGTGTCGTCTTCATTAGTCAAAGTGGTGGGGTGGCCGAATGGTTAACGCCCATGCATTGTATCATAATGTCTGTCAATGAGTCAAGTGGCATGGTTTCGATTTCCCGCTTGTAGGTGACAAGGAGTAACTGTAAGGTCGCCTGTCCAACCTCTTGGGTTTTCTCCAGGCACTCTGGGTTCCTACCAATGCTAAAGACCCCATGTGCATGCAAATTATTGAAATAAAATTGAACCATATGTTAGTCTTGAAATGACCTAGTTAAACCTATTTGTACAATTATGTTATTGTAATTATATAATAGTTAACTTATTATGATATTTGATATTTACAGTATCGAGTAGAATCTATGATGTTACGACTGGCAAAACCAATGAATTTTATACCTGTGTCACCAGGTGTTCATCAACGTGCTCGAATGAGGGCACCAGAATGTATACCGTTAACTTTAGAACCAGATTCCAAATTTTACACCAACCCTGTAGTAGTCCTAGATTTCCAGTCTTTATATCCATCCATAATGATAGCCTACAACTATTGTTTTTCTACCTGTCTAGGTAGATTGGAAAGACTTGCTAAAGCTCAGTAAGTATATTAAAATTTAACAAATTTATGTTATTTTGTCTTACAATAATATTTGGTTTTATCCAATTCAATGTTTGTGTTAAATAGGAGAGGAAACGCTTTTCTCCCCCAGTTAGCTAATGAAATAGGGTATAACGTCCAGCTTTTCTTCCCCAACAGGCTAATGAAGACGGGCAATGTGTTATGACAGAAATTTTGCCCAGATAACGGCCTTACATTCTCTTCTTATTTCCAGTTTCAATTGTTAGTGGACAGCTGTTCTTGGCCCCTTTTGTCTTGCAGCACTGATAAGGGGGAAACAAGGCTGGGAATCGTGTGGAACATTTTCAACCAACACTGGCATCAGACCCCGTAACTCCAGGTTTATGAGCCAGTACCATTCATTACACACTTAGCCACCCCTCTGAGCGTGTGTTAAACTGAGAATATACTAATCAATAGACTTTTAACTGATTTTCCATGTACTCTGTGTTATTACCTTATTTTGACACATATATAATTGTTTATTTACAGTGATGGACAGTTTGAATTTGGTTGTACATCTTTAAAATTATCACCATCAGTTATCCGAGTATGTATATAAGATGATTTTATCTCAGACTAAAAAATTGTCTTCTTAAATGTTGAGTTAATCAGAAACTCTGAACATAAATAAATCCCAAATGCACTCAGGAAACAACACTTGAATTATATAATCTTTGATTGGCATTCAGGGATTTAACTTAATATAACACATTGTGTTATAACCATATATGCCGGTCGAGACCTGCGGCTGTGGCAAATGACCGTTCCTAGATCTGACCTAACGGTCATTTTGCACGCCGGAAAGAGAGTCTTTTTTTCCAAAACCCAATTTTCAAACATGGCTACGATCGACCTCCACTTTGTAACTATACAAGAATGCACACGTATAGAAGCCAATCTCATGATTGGTGTTATAGAGTTGTATAAATACAATAGTCGTCAACAGATTATACTGAGTGGTGTGTTGATAATTAATGATGAGTTTCTGGTAGAGAACAATAAAAGTTAATTGATAAGTGGGAATCTAATCAACGCGTGAAGTGGTCCATTGTCAATCATTCACGTATTGTCCACGTGTCAGAAGGATTTTCAACATCAAAGCTGTTTACCGCTATTACGTTCAGGCACGATGTAAACGAGGTTATTATGAGCTTCGAAAAAAGGCAATTGATATAAAATACTGCTCTTCGCATCCAACCAACTGTCATAAAAATAAAAACAGCATAGAAATTACAGAAGTCCTCAACAACGTACATGTACGTGTTGGGAGAAAAATGCATTTATAAATTTTTATAGCGACATTATGGCCTTGTGGAAATTGTAGAAATAAAATCTAGAGAAAAGTTAACTTGCTTACCGAAAAATTAAGAAAATTACGTATTCCAGTTCTATTGTGCAGCGATATTGATAATTCCATGTGTAGAAAATATGTCGTGTATATACGGTTACTCTTACACACGACGATATTCTAGGGGACGCTAGTGTCATTAGCTGGGAAGTTAGTTATCTGTTAGTCATTTAGTTATACATTATTAGGATTTACGTCACAATTCTGCGACCCTTAATTCCGTAAGAGATGGTCTTAAAATCAATAAATGTGAGAAATATGCCGTGGATAATTATATATTTATCTTCATATCGAAGTTATTGTGTTACAACTCAAAATTATCCAGGTCAGTGTATTTACTATGGAGCACGTGGTAATTACGTGTGAGCTACTGAAATGGTTTTTCTACGGCCAATTCAACTATTTCGTTATTTAAGTAGCCAAAATGGAATATTTAATTAATTAATAAATAATTATCATAAGCCTTACTAATATGTCATTTTTAAATCAAATATATTTTTTTTTGTGTACCCCATGGTGACAAAGTGGTATCGACACTTGAATTCACAATACCATACCTTGAATAAAAAACATGAAATATGAATTTACTTTGAAAAGTTTTTGTGCGTTATCAAAAATGACCGGTAGTGAAAATTTTGAAGTGGAAGCCCTGGTTATAACATTTGAATTATTTGTAAATTATAACATTATTTGTAAAATATAACATTATTTGTAAAATATAACATTATTTGTAAAATATAACATTATTTATAAAATATAACATTATTTATAAAATTTAACATTTTTTTGTAAAATATAAAATTATTTGTAAAATATAAAATTATTTGTAAAATATAAAATTATTTGTAAAATATAAAATTATTTGTAAAATATAAAATTATTTGTAAAATATAAAATTATTTGTAAAATATAACATTATTTGTAAAATATTAGCTAAGAAGTTTGAACTATACTTTAAAATCAATTTGAATCTTTGTTAAACTACATGTAGCAGTACTTAATTTATATTGATTCTATTTACAGAAATTAAAAGATGATGTGACTATTTCACCAAATGGAGTTGTTTTTGCAAATGAATCAGTTAGAAAGGGAGTTATATCAAAGTAAGAGATCTTACATGTTTTATTTGTGTTGGTCCGGTGGCCATTTGCTCATTTTATGTGTACATAGCATTAGCTACAGGTGCTTGAATGTATGAGAAAATATTACATTATGGAGCTGTGGACATTTGTTACTTTAATGTGAACATAACATATATATTAGCTATCTCTACATGAATGTAAGTGAAAGTATTACATTGTAGAGCTTTGGAGATCTTAAAGGCCACCGGAAAAGCATCAATTTTTTTTTAAATAATGCAAGTAATTATGTCAACATATCCTTTCCATAAGTATAACCTGAACCCGAACGTCAATATTACCTGCAACAGGTAATTTTCAACATTAGTAATTTCCGCCGTTCTCCGTGGGTAGTCGGAACTTTCCGTCAATAAGCAATCCGTGACGTCATTTTAGTCCTTCTGCACATAGAAATATAGACTAGAATATAAGCAGAAGGACTAAAATGACGTCACATTTACGGAAAGTTACGACTACCCACAGAGAATGGCGGAAATTACTAATGTTGAAATTTACCCGTTGCAGGTAATATTGACGTTTGGATTCGTGTTATACTTATGGAAAGGATATGTTGACATAATTACTTGCATTATTTAAAAAATTTATGAACCTTTTCCGGTGACCTTTAATTTGGGATGTGTGACTTATTGAGAGAGAGAGAAATGGGGTTTAACGTCCACTCGACACAAACTAGGTCATTCGGGACTTACACATGGTTTAATTTTATTTCATTAATTCGCTTGCACGCAGGGGTCTTTAACAGTAGGAGGAAATCGAAGGACCTGGAGAAAACCCATGAGTTTGGACAGGCAACGAACTCCTTGTCACGTACAAATGGAGAATCGAAACCACGCCACTTGACTTGATGACAGACCTTATGATGCAATGCGCACATTAACCACTCGGCCACCCCACCCCTGGTGGCTTATTGAGTAAGGATATCCTGAGTTCAGTCTCGGGTGTTGACTGAGAAAGTTACTCGGGATTTTCCGGTGTGGCCTCCAATTGGTCCTGATGTAGGACGGAAGGTCTGGTGTGTAGTTGCTGAGATGTGGCTAAAGCGGAGGTTCCGTGGACATGGTGTGCACATAAAGGAACCCTTGACAGTTGGAAATCAAAATAACTGTTGGACGTCGCACCACTGTCCAAACAAAATTTACCTCATAGCACACTGCTTGACTTAAGCCCAGTCGATGCAGAAAAGTATAATGTTAAATCCCCTTTCATTTCATTTAAATCTTAAATTTTTTACTTCTTAAAAATACATTATGGGAGATTTGATAACGAGTTGGCAGTTCTCACTATAATAGTTAAAAACTAGATAATGTAAAGGCAATTTGCTGAAAATTTCATTCAAATTGATCCACTATGAACTGAGAACTAAGCGGTTGAAATTTCCGGCTAGCCTTGATCATCATTACTAAAGTCAGTATGATAAACAGCATAGTCTCGATTATACATTTAATTGTTAAATCGTGAAGGAAAGTTATGCAGTAAATCGGCTCACAATCCACTAAAGATCGCAGGCTAGCAATGCCATCTAGAGTTGATTATGATCTGGATAGGTTAAATAATTTAGAAAATATTTCAGGCCTAAAGAAAGACCTGTAATAGACAGATTTAGCTCTTGCATAATGTATGTTTAATTATTTAGAAGATGACATTTATTGCATAAACAAGTTCATTGATTATTTTCTTTCTAGAATGGTGGAAGAAATATTAAATACAAGAATAATGGTGAAAAAAGCAATGAAAAATTATAAAGATGACAAGGTATAGATCATTTTAAATGAACACCTCATTACCACTATTATTTTCCAAGTTTACTTTGCTAAGATCTTTTGTTGTACATGTGTACTTGAATACAAGACTCTCTGTAGAGATAACGTTGCCTGTTTTATACATTAAGCTACATATGAGATGTTATTTTGCTACATGTGCTGACATGCTTCAAGATATGACATGACAGTTATTTTCATGCTTTATATGGTATAACTGATATAAATGTCATATATAATATATAACTTTCCCGTCATGGTTTACAATTATCTGTGGTGTAGAACAGAGAGCCTAGTAAGGAATAAGTGCCTAGTCATCCGGATGTGATGAAAAACCAAGTTCCAGTGTACACATCTAACTGTGATATGATTATTTTCAGACGTTATATCAGGTGTTAAATGTTAGATCTATCATGATTATTTTCAGACGTTATATCAGGTGTTAAATGTTAGATTTATCATGATTTTCAGACTTTAAATCTAATCTTAAATATTAGATCTATTATGATTATTTTCATTCATTATATCATGTTAAATCTATTATGATTATTTTCATTCATTATATCATGTTAAATCTATTATGATTATTTTCAAACGTTTATCGGATGTTAAGTGTTACATGTAGATCTATCATGATTATATAAATGTTATGTTTAAAATAATTATTTTCAGACGTTTATCGAATGTTAAATGTTAGAGCTTTTATGATTATTTTCATTCATTATATTGTATGATAAATGTTGAATCTATTATTATGATATTTTTCAGACATTATATCGGATGTTAAATGCAAGACAGCTAGGGTTAAAGTTAATAGCTAATGTAACATATGGGTATACTGGTGCTAATTTCTCTGGAAGAATGCCTTGTATAGAGGTGAGTTATTTATTCCCTTTGTTTATTGTTAATTTATTATCTTGTATAGAGGTGAGTTATAACCCCTTTCCTTAAAGTTAAAGATACATTATGGGAAATTAGATAAAGAGCTGGCAGTTCTCACTTTAATAGTTAAAAACTAGATAATGTAAAGGACATTTGCTGAAAATTTCAGTCAAATTGATCCACTCTGAACCAAGATTTTGGCGATTGAATTTTCGGCCTAGCCTCGATCATCATTACTAAAGTCGGTACGATAAAAAACATAATCTTGATTATCCATTTCATGATTAAATCATGAATGGAAGTCGAACAGCAAATCGGAACCTAATCCAATATACATCGCAGTCTAGCAATGACATTGAAAGTTGATTATGGTCTGGATAAATTAATTAATGTCTAATTAATAATTTAGATAACATTTCAAGCCCAAAGAAATACCTGCAATAGGCAGATTTAGCTCTTGCATAATGTATGATTGATTTTATAAACTGGATTTTCCACCCTACAATCCAAAGTGGATGCCATCTTTATTTGCTCCCTTGATATCATGAACTGGATTTCTCTATATTACAATCCAATGTTTATTTATAGGGTGGCCCACCATAAATAAATATCTCCAAATATCTCGACAATTACGCCACAATATTTATATATATGCCAAGCCTCAAATCAGTTTCACACAATTATAGTCACTAAATAAACGATCATGTTGTACTTAATAAGCTATGACCATTAATCATCTATAAATAATAGACTGAAAACTGGTTCCAAGTGTCGTTCATAACATCCAGACAATTTTGAGTAAAAGATAGGTTACGTGCCCTTGTTTTGAAATTAGTCTCGCTTAACCAGTCTATCGACCATTCTACGTCTGATTGACAGGTCGGGATAATCAAGACTACTTTTTTACGAAACATAACAGAAAGCTAGAACAAGAAATTGAATTTAGAAATAAGCACGTTAGCTAGCTCAACAATTGTTTTAAGAAGCTTGTAAAAGTAAAATGAAACTACTGCTAGTATCATGTTTCTGTCTAAACCGAGTGATTCAGAGATATTATTTGTACTAAACCAAAAGATGCCGCTCTTAACGGTACAGTTAATGATAAAGGGATTTAAAAAATAAAACGAACGTAATTTCTAAATCTGCTGTAATAACCAAGAAGCTTAATTTTACCGCTATTCAAAATCGTCAACAATAAATTTTTTACGGCTGTAATAGTTGATAGATTTGTAGAGAATTGCACGTGCCATGGCTATTTATAGTATCATACTGTCAGAAAGTTGGTCTAGACACGGCGAATGTGCACGCTTCAGTGGTAGTCTCGAACTATCAGCGGTGGACTGTATTTCTGTAGAGTGCATGGGTCACCCTATTATTTATTGTCTTGATGTAGGTTGGTGATAGTATTGTACGTAAAGCTAGAGAGTCTTTAGAACGAGCTATAAAACTGGTAGAAGACACACCAAGATGGGGTTCGAGAGTTGTTTATGGTGATACAGACAGGTGAAATATACTCTATAATTATTACACTTTTTATTCTTACTTATTATGGTCATGTTTTATTATTTACGTGACAAGGAGTAGGATCGCCTGCCAAACCCTGTGGGTTTTCTCCTGTTCCATTGGTTTCCTCCCACTGATAAAGACCCTACATGCAAGTGTCTTGTTGAAATAACATTGTACCATATGTAAGTCCAAAAATGACCTAGTTTGTGTTGAGTGAATGTTAGACTCTGATCTCATTCAACTTCCAAGATTTATCAAATAAATATTTTATCATAAAGTCATATTTAGTATTACTGATCTCATGAAAGTTGTATATATTAACATACATTTGTATAACATATGATATGGATCTATATATTAACATATAACATATGGTAAAGATGTATATCAGTGGCTAAGTGGGTAAGATGTTGGCTTGCTACCCTGGAGGTCGCGTGTTCGATTCCTGCATCGGTTGAGAAAGTTCATCTGGATTTTCCGACATGGTTTCCTCTTGTCAGTGGTGCAGGACGAAGGGCCTAATAGGGCAGCTGTCTAGTCATTCGAATGAGAAGAAAAAACAAGGTCCTGTGTATACATTGGCGTGCATGTAAAAAATCCCTTGGCAGTTGGAATTCGATATAAGAGTAGGCCATAGGTCCGCTGCTCGGGCAAACTTTCCCTCATAGTACACTGTATGGCGTATGCCTGTCTTCATTAGCCCAGTTGGAGCGGAACAGTAGGACATTAAACCCCATTTCATGATATAGATGTACATGTATATATATTAACATATAACATATGATATAAATAGTAACATTTGACATATAATATAAATGTATATATTAACATTTAACATATGATATAGATGCATATATATTAACATAATGAAATGAAATGGGGTTGAACATCCTACTACATTAATATATAACATAATGCTATAAATATATACATTAACATAAGATCTGATAAATTGTTTATTACAGTTTATTTATTGAGATGAAAGGTAAATCTAAAGATGAAGCTTTTGTAATTGGTCAAGAAATAGCAGATGCTGTAACTAACATGTACCCTAAACCAATGAAACTCAAATTTGAGAAGGTATGAATGAAATATTATATTTGATGTAGAATATGTAATCGTATCTAAATACGAAATGATATTCTTTCTTTTTCAATTTTTTATTTTTGTTGAAAGTTTTATCATTATAACTCAAATTTGAGAAGGTATGAATGAAATATTTATATTTGATGTAGAATATGTAATCGTATCTAAATACGAAATGATATTCTTTCTTTTTCTATTTTTTATTTTTGTTGAAAGTTTTATCATTATAACTATATTTTTTTTTTTTATTAGAAATTGGTTTGTTGTGTACTCAAATCCAAACTTGGAGAAAGAGTGTTTGGTAGAGTTCTTTCAAAAGACAAGAATAAATTACTAACTGCTATATAGAATATATCCTAATATATTAATTTTCAAGAAATGTCTAAAAACGGAATATTTTAGAATTAATTATTATGATTGTTCTGCTTGTTGTTGTCTATGTTACGTGACAGAGCAGTCAAATTGATGGAATCTTCAGTCCACTAGAAAGTTATTATTATTTAATTATAGGTATATTTACCATGTGTTCTACAGACCAAGAAACGTTATGTAGGTTTTATGTATGAAACACCGGATCAGAAGGAACCAGTATTTGACGCTAAAGGTATAGAAACAGTCCGTAGAGATAACTGTGCTGCCGTTTCTAAGGTACATATTCTACTATTTTATACATATAGTAACAATTCAAACCATTATTCGATTGGTTCTTTTTTTCTAAATTTGTCCTAAATTTGAAGTGATATTTCCTTAAAAGTAAATGTGCTTGATGCGAAAACATAAAGATGTCAATGTACCGTTTACAAAGGGAGCAGTAGAGATTAATGGAATCTCAGTTGAGATATATGGAATTGAACCATGTATGGATAGATTCAACTTTTCACAATATTGTAGTTTGCAAGGGTTTTTGATATCGCTCAGGGACTTGTAAGGATTTAAGTATATTTGTTTATAAGTATTAGATGTTATATTTGTAGGTATTAGAAAGATGTATAAAGCTATTATTTACAACACGAGATATATCTCAAGTTAAACAGTATGTTGTGAGACAATGTCAGAAGTTATTAGAAGGTAAAGTCAGTCTACAGGATTGTGTTTTTGCCAAAGAATATCGTGGAATGTCTGGATATAAACCTGGTGCTTGTGTTCCAGCTCTACAGATAGCTAGGTATGGACACAAATGGGGTTTAACGTTCTACTATTCTGTTCCGACTGGACTAATGAAGACGGGCATACACTAAAATGGCGTTTAACGTTCTACTATTCTGTTCCGACTGGACTAATGAAGACGGGCATACACCATACAGTGTGCTGTGAGGGAAATTTTGCCACGACAGCAGCACTATGTCCTACTCTTATTTCGAATTTCAACTGTCAAGGATTCTTTTACGTGCACGCCAATGTGTACATGGGACCTCAGTTTTTCATCCCATATAAATGACTAGACATCTCTCTGTCCTGCACTACTGACAAGTGAAAACGGCGCCTGAAAATCATATGGAAATTTTTCGGCTAACACTGGGAATGAACCTGAGACCTTCAATATAGAAAGCCAGCGTCTTACTCACTGAGCCACTGCTGCTCCCCGCTAGTCATGGATACAAATATCTAGATAAATATACAAATATCTAGGATAAACAAATAACATCAATTGGGACGTTTATTTTTGAACAGTAGTCGGGTAATTAAACGCTTGTAAATTGGATACCCATTATCACTAAACATGATAATTCCTTTACAGCTAGCTAGACAATTACTCGTTTTTTCGAATCCCGGGTTGTACGTGGCAAGGAGTAGGGTCGCCTGTCCAACCTCGTGGGTTTTCTCCGGGTCCTCCGGTTTCCTCCCACTGCTAAAGACCCCTATGCGCAAGCGAATTATGTAAATAAAATTAAACCATATGTTAGTCCCGAAATGATCTAGTTTGTGTCGAGTGGACGTTAAACCCCATTTCTTTCTCTCTCTCTCTCTCTCTCTAGACAATTACTATATTTATTCAGTAATCATTACTTGTATTGTTTTACTCAAGTTAAACTAACATTATTTTATATTTACCATTTCAAATTAAATTGTTTTCTTGTATAGAAAAAGAATTCGAACTGATCCTCGATCTGAACCTAGAACTGGAGAACGTGTTCCGTACATCATAGTATATGGTAGCCCCGGTCTTCCATTAATACAGTTAGTCAGGGAACCAAGGGACATGTTAGCAGATCCTACCTTACGTTTAAATGGAACTTATTACATCACAAAACAGATATTACCACCGTTAAATAGATTATTCTCTTTAATTGGTGTTGATGTTTTCTCATGGTAAGTTATTATCGGTTTCTCTGTCCTAATGAATGTGGTTCTTCTCTCAAGCCAGCTTCTACTGTGATCTTCTGATAACATTGTCTTATATAATATCAAAATGACTCTTTCCATTAATTTCTCTATACCGATAAGTATGGGACTTCTCTAGATCTCGAGCCAACTTCAGCTATAGTCTACTGATCACATCATCTTTTAGAAAATCTAGATGATGACACTTTCCATAAATGTTAAAGCATAAATTTCATACTTAACTACAAATTTCTTATTGATTTTCATGGAAATAATTTAGACATTTACATTTGGGAAGTAGAGATTCATAGCTCATAATTTTTGATTTGATCATGACTCTTTTGGTTACCATGTTTGGGGAGTAGACATTTGTTCTTTATGTGGAATATCCTCTTCACATGTACTGATGTTACCCAACCCCAAAGGATTAGGGCAAGGTTACTTTAAAAGAGTCCATTTACGAGTTTACCCAATAGGATTGGGCTTAGGATACTTGAAAAGGGTCAGAGAGAGAGAGAGAGAGAAATGGCGTTTAACGTCCACTCGACACAAACCAGGTAATTTCGGGACTAACACATGGTTCAATTTTATTTCCACAATTCGCTTGCGCGTAGGGGTCTTTTAGCAGTGGGAGTTAACCGGATGAAAAGAGTCAAGTTATGAGTTTTCTCTATAGAGTTGGGGCAAAGGTACATTCAAAGGGCCAAATTAAGACTTTTTCATACATTTATGACTTTTTCTCCTCAACTGAAAGTTCTTCATTGGTATTATTCTTATGCATTATTTTACTTATTACTAGGTACCAAGATATGCCAAAAACTATTAGAATAGTTCCACAATCTGTTTCTGGTGTTGATGCTAAAAAGGTTGGAACCAGTTTTAATATTCAATTTGACATTTTGTCACATACCACCTCATCATTAGTTTTATTTGCTATTTGCTATATAGAACTAACTAAGCAAGGATTGAAATATAAAAGCTTTACTTAAACCAAATGATCAAAGCATTGTCAGAAAAAGCGCGCCTTGTATTGAATCTTAAAATTAGTAAGTGAACTATTGCTTATATGGATAGGAAGTGATCAAAGCCTTGTCGGAAAAAGTGCATCTTGAATTAAATCTTAAAATTAGTAAGTGAATCATTGCGTATATCATGGAAAGAATTAAAGTTAGCTCCAGAGATTTGGTGCCTGAAATCAGAAAGATCTTTACCATAGGTTAGCTAATTTTGGTTGTAAACAGTGGTGTGCAGAGAATTTGTGATGCCCTTGATCAAATCCTTGCTTGTATGCCTCTAAGACTCAATTATAGGGCCTAGTAGTACTTAGAAATGTAAGAAAAGGAGACAATTTAAATATGATGAAATAAACTTTAATTCAGATATATAAGTAGGACAGCTTGCAGAGTTAACAGTGCGAGCAAAGAATTGGTGATGCCTGGGGCCAACTTGTTGATTCTATGTCTCCAAAGATTCAATTATAATGCTTAGTACTTAGAAATGTGAAAAAGGAAGACATATTAATATGTAAAAACAAATTAAATATATTTTTTATTTAAATTAAGTAGGGCAGCTCGTACACCAAAGTTAACAGCGGTAATTTCAAATTTCATTATGACTTAATTTAAGTTTCACTCTTTGATTAGATTCCCCCATAAAATGGATGCCCCCATGAAATGGATGCCCTTGGCCATCGCCCTCTGTGCCACTTCTCTGCACGCCACTGGTTGTACATTTGTAACACAGTTTGTAAGAGTGTTCAACAGTTTCTTTTAAATCTATACTTCAGGGTACAGTAGGATGTTAAACTCCATTTTATTTCTATTTCAGGGTACAATATCTCAGTATTTTGCTACATCTAATTGTCGAGTATGTGATGAACAGACTAAACAAGCTATATGTAGAAAGTGTATGAAAGAACCACAGATGGTGACTGTTGTTTTATCTGATAGAATAAGACAATGGGAGCGAATACATCATAGACTCTCACAGGTTTGTTATTAGCAAGAACTATTTTAAACAATGAAAGATTCACACAAAAAGTTAAAGATTCACAACAAAATGAAAAGGATTCACACAAAAAGTGAAAGATTCACACAAAAAGGGAATGATTCACTCAAAAAGGCAAAGATTTACACAAAACCTGACAAAAAGTGAAAGATTCTCCTTAAAAAGTGAAAAAGATTCACACAAAAAGTGAAAGGTTCACACAAAACCTCACAAAAATTGAAAGATTCACTCAGAAAGTAACTGTATAGAGCAATAAACTATAACACATTTCAAATTGTGTTGAAAGTCAAAGAAAAATGAGGCTTTATTAAATCTTTGACTGTGATTTCTACACAAATACATATGTTGCTAAATGTTATAAGATATTTTTGTATTTTATTATTCTAGGTTTGTTATACCTGTATGGGGTGTCAAGATATCGACCAACCTTGTATTACATTAGACTGTCCTATACTGTTTAGACGATTAATAGCTAGTCAAGATGTTCTACGTGCTGATAAACTGCGACAAGATATGAATAAAATGTTCGATTTCTAATCTCATCATGATGCTGATCTTCTCAATGATGTGGCCATTATGATGCTGACATTCTCAACAATGTGGTCATGTAATGTTGATCTTCTCAATGATGTGGCCATTATGATGCTGATCTTCTCAACAATGTGGCCGGTATAATGCTAATATTCTCAATAATGTGGCTATGTGTATCATGTATATATAGCTACATGTATCGCATTTATATCTAGCTACATATATCATGTATATCCAGCTAGTATATCTAGTTATATGTATCTCAAATACAATCAGCTACATATATCATGTATATCCAGCTATGTGTATCATGTATATCTAGCTATATGTATAGCATATATATCTAGCTGTATGTATCATGTATATCTAGCTACATGTATAATGTATATCTAGCTATCTGTATAATGTAGCCTATAACTAGCTATGTATCTCATATATATCTAGCTACATGAACATCTCGCTGCATATATGAAAATAGAATGTCGCCAAATGAATTATATTTAAATCATCCATCGTATTATTTTTACATCAATCAATATGAATTTAGTATTTTTATAAAACCAAAGATAAAAAGTAGAGAGGGTACCTGCTGGCCTTAATTTGTTGTCTTCCTGTTGTGACATCATCACCAGCTGATCTCAGTCTACTGCTCAATATGGATGCACATTATTTTATATACACTGGTGACTGGGGTTATTATTATATCTAATACACGAAAGACAGGTTTCTAGACAAATTGATTCAACCCTTTATATAAATATTAACTACCTGAGTCCTTAAAGACAATTAGAAAAAAGGATTTTTTAATATCAGGACACCCCTGGCAGACTGAAACAGACTGTTTCTTAGACCACCTCAAACCGCCCAAGATATGTAAATAGCTTTCCATATTGTAGGACTGTTTACTAGTTTGCGAGGGCTCAAGACGGGCGATTTGGGGAGTTCTAAGTGCTAAAGGGTTAAACGCTATTTTATTTCTAGTATGACATGAATATATACAATACTGATATAGTGGATGTGAAAACATGTCGAAGCTTTATATAAATTCATCCCTAAACTAATTCAGTTGAAAATTAGCAATTGGTTTTTTTCAATTGTGTTTACATAATTTGACTGGGTTTTTCAGTCAATTAACAGCCTTGTTTAGTATATATTATGATACAATATTTCTATAAACTTCAAAGCACAGGGAAATCGAATTTTGTTGCCTCTTACAAATGATTATTTTGTTCTTTCCATTGATAAGAATTAGACTTCCCGGTATATGTATGATTTACTAGAACCTGGGTAAGGGGTATGATCTTTCGTGGTCCCATTCATAGGATTTTGACTTGCATGTATAGTTTACTAGAACTTGCATATGGGGTATGATCTTTTGTGGTCTCATTGTAGGGATTTAGATTTACATGTATGATTTACTAGAACTAAGGGGTATGATGTTTTGGGGTTCCACTGAAAGGATTTAGATTTACATGTAGGACTAAGGGGTATGATGTTTTGGGGTTCCACTGAAAGGATTTAGATTTACATGTAGGACTAAGGGGTATGATCTTTTGGGGTTCCACTGAAAGGATTTAGACTTACATGTATAATTTACCAGAACTTTTGTTTGGGGTATGATCTTTCTTGGTTCCATTGAAAGGATTTAGACTTACATGTATAATTTACAAGAATTTGTGTAAGGGGTATGATCTTTCATGGTCCCATTGCAGTGATCATGATTTACGATGAGATAGATGATGCAAGATTAAATCAAATTAACTAGATATGATATTATATTAAGAATAACGAAATTGACAAAATGAAATGCTAAATATGTGATTGATTATTTATTATTTTGTATATTTAAGTACTGATGAAGAGCTTATTGATGCATGAATGTTAAAGTTAGTTGTTAGTATGTTAAAGTTTATTTTGTATATATGTATATGTTTATATGAAGTTATCTAGTTGTGCAGAATAAAATTAATTTTCTATACTAATATTAAATGGATTACAATTGACTTAAACAGTTGTACTTAAAATTTATGTAGAGTTTACATATATCTGGATTTTGGTTAATTTTGGCAATTTCATATTTATAAATATGTCAGAAAAAGGGATTTATATGTTTCAACTTTGCAAATAAGTATCCATTTTCTGTGGATAAATCAGTCATGTTGACATTTTGTTACCTTACTGACAATTTGTCGAATTTATTTCTGAAACTGATTCAAGCTATGAGTTTTTATTTTATTTATTTCACTTGTTAATGTCTTTTATGAACTAAAAATAATTGTACAAAGCCATAGAATGTCTAATAAAATTTTTGTATCAGTTTATATATAGAACATTTTTATTGTACATTTGGATTATTATAATTTTTATTAATATTTATATTTTCATGAGAGAGATGAGAGATTCAACATAATTTTTTTATATAGAAAACTGTCACATATTGTGTATAAAGCATGTTTGTTTCTCACCTCATACCCTGATTAGGCTACACATATCGTATATTATAATATATTCATCCAGAATGATTGTATGAGGGTTTAACATCCATTGACAAAACTAGGTCATTTAGGGACTAACATGGTACCATTTTTTATTTCAATAAGTCACTTGCTCTCTGGGAGTAAGCCAGAGGACTTGGAGAAAACATACATGATTGGGCAGCCGACCCCACTCTTTGTTACTTACAAACTTGTTATCTAAACCATGCTGCTTGCCTCTGACAGACCTTATGATCTGAAGCGCACGTGTTAGATCACCCTTTGTTGTTTTAAGTATAGCTTGTGAATCACAAACATTTCATAATCACCTAAGTGTTAGATTTAGTGGCCTTCATTATTTTCGATTGCTTAATAAGTATATTTATATTTTGTGAAATGTTTATGAATGCTGATTATTTTAATTTGAAGATTTATTAATTAGATGAGTGAAAGAAAATACAGAGGTTCAATTCCTAGCTATATTTACTTTTCTTTGGATACGCTTATTGTTTGGATAATTTCTTGTTTTGGTTGTATTCTTAAATTAAATGTTCCAATATTCATAAAGTAGAAGTGTGTGTTGGTCTCAGATGTTTAGAAAGCTATGATTGTAGTATAAATTTTTATTTGTACTACTAACTGTATAGAGTATTAGTAGAGGTATGTTATGTTATGAAATGAAATGGGGTTTGGAGTCCTACTTTTCTACATCAACTAGGGCTAATGAAGACAGGCAGATGCCATGTACTGGGCTAAGGTGAATTTTGCCTGGATGGCGGCGCTACAGGCTACTCTTTAATTCAAATTCCAACTGTCAAGGATTCCTTCATGTACATGGGACCTTTCTTTTTTGTCCCATTTGAAATTCACTAGGAAATTTTTTATCCAACACCTTCCTTGCACCTGGTTAGCAAGCCAGTACTTTACTCATTGAGTCACTGTAGCTCCCCAGATCTATAGATAAATTCAGATAATGAAACTTATTGGTATATAATAATACCTTATTCAGACACAACTGTCAGAAATAAAACATTTATAGACCACAGAACAATTAATTTATTGTTTAAACTAAAAGAATTATGTTGTGTACGGAGGGAACTAATTTTTTTAGGATTTAATTTTTAATGCCATTTGAAATATATAAAAAAACGCTATGTTATGTCCATGTATTTTCCACCTCCTATAAAAGCTATGTTATGTCCATGTATTTTCCACCTTCTATAAAAGCTATGTTATGTCCATGTATTTTCCACCTTCTATAAAAGCTATGTTATGTCCATGTATTTTCCACCTCCTATAAAAGCTATGTTATATCCATGTATTTTCCACCTCCTATAAAAGCTATGTTATGTCCATGTATTTTCTACCTTCTATAAAGGCTATGTTATTTCCATGTATTTTCTACCTTCTATAAAAGCTATGTTATGTCCATGTATTTTCCACCTCCTATAAATGTATGGTGATTGTCCTTTGCAAGTCCTTTAGCACCTAATCTTTTACATCCTGGCTATAAAAGCTATGTTATGTCCATGTATTTTCCACCTCCTATAAAAGCTATGTTATATCCATGTATTTTCCACCTCCTATAAAAGCTATGTTATGTCCATGTATTTTCTACCTTCTATAAAAGCTATGTTATTTCCATGTATTTTCTACCTTCTATAAAAGCTATGTTATGTCCATGTATTTTCTACCTTCTATAAAAGCTATGTTATGTCCATGTATTTTCCACCTCCTATAAAAGCTATGTTATTTCCATGTATTTTCTACCTTCTATAAAAGCTATGTTATTTCCATGTATTTTCTACCTTCTATAAAAGCTATGTTATGTCCATGTATTTTCCACCTCCTATAAATGTATGGTGATTGTCCTTTGCAAGTCCTTTAGCACCTAATCTTTTACATCCTGGCTGTAGAGTTAAATTACTACATGCATAAGCAGTTAATGGTACATTTATTTACATATAGTATCTATATCTTTATATGGCCAAATTAAAAAAAAATACCAGTGTTTACGGTTCCCAGACCAACCCTATTTTTTGGAGTCAAAATTTTTTTTCAGATTACTAACAATTTTGGTATTGTTTTCAAGAAATGCTATGAAATATATAATACAAACCCCACGGAGGGGGGTTGCTTGGAAAAAACAATAATGGCCCTATTTTAGAGGGCCAAGTAACCGTAAACACAGGGTTTTTTTTCTTGGCCTAAAGCTAAAGTTATTAAGTGGCAGCAGTATTTTTTATATTATGAGAATTGTTCACACAGTGTAATAGTAGAGATAACAGATTGGTAATTTTTTCAAGTTGTGATTTTTATATTTTTGTCTGTGATTTCTATGTGAGTAAATTGTGTCAAATGATTGAACACAAAATAAAAGTTTGAAAGAATGGGTTAGAATTATGTTGTCTTGTAGTTCATCGGGCCTTGTAAACGAAAGGGCTTATGTTGTCACTACTGTCTCTTCGTCTGTAAACATTTAGTTAGTTCTTTGGTTACTTCTCTAAACCATTTTTTGAATTTCAACGGAATTTGGTAAGCGTGTTGAAGTTGCTTGCCTCATGGGGAAATGGGTCACGTTAAGATAATCTTTAAAAAAGTTTTCTTCAGAATGGCTGAATTGATTTCTATGAGATTTGGGTGAAATCATTCTTATACAAAAAATATCAATTTTAACATCACAGATATCAGCACCATCGTGCTACCATGAATGAAATTTTGCTCAGACAGTGGTGCTATTGCCTATTCTTGCTTCAAATTCCAACTTTCAAGGGTTGTTTTATGTTGTTTTTCATACCATCCTAATGACTAGATGCTATTCCTTACAAAGTAATAATTATGGCCCTTGATCACTTTAAAAAATCTTGTGGACACTCTAGAAACTAAAGTTAATATCTGATGACTTTAAATTTATACACAGTGTTTAAGGTCATGACTCATGAGACGAAGAATCCTATTGATTTTCAACGATTTACGACAATTACTGCCAGAGTTATGGCCCTTGACCACTTTAAAATTGTCATGGGTTCTTTTACATGCATGCAAATGTGTACACGGAACCTCAATTTTTTGTCCCATTTGAATGACTAGACAGCTGTATTTGTCAGGCAGGGAAATTGTGCTGGAAAAGCCTGAGGAATTTTCTTGGACAACACCTGCAGGCTAGCCTCATTTAAATAGTGATGGAATGTCATTTAGCACTAACAACAGGTAGCATCATACTATTAAATGAGCCATGTTATGACCATGAACCCATAGATATCATCACCCATATATTGGTCTGTCTTCAAACTCTTTTTGGAATTTACACGCATTGTGACTTGAATTCTGTTTAATTTAAATCATTTCTGATCATTGCTTGCAGAGTTATTACACTTGGTGAAAACCCAGAATGTTAAAGACCACTGGGGCTAACTTAAATAGTTTTGAGCCACCGTTATAGATAATTTATGCTTTGTGTATTAGGACATTTCTGAACAACCCAAATCACTTACACAGGTGATTTTGTTACTAACAAATGCAATTGGGGAGAATTTTTCCAGGGCAGCAAGATACAGCGCTATCCAATGTTACAATACTCTATGAACAGAATCTAGCAATCTTTTCAGAAAAGCGAATATTTAGATTTTAAACTTTAAGGCAAGACAACTAGACCATTTCTTCAAATTTTGGCATTTAATTCTTGCTTGCATGATCCTCTGGGTATGACCAGATAAGGAATGCTGTCAAAATGAGTCTTATGCCTTTAAGGCCTACATGTATCCACAATGCTTTAAAAGAAAATTCAACATCAACAAGTTTATAATTCTGATTTTTTATTTTTTATGGAAAAGACGAGTTATTAGAAATCCATTGGTTTGTTTTAAACTGATAAAGCTTATCTCTACTTTTGTATTTATATCCAACCAAAAAGCACAAAACAGTCAGCTATCTTGAACAGTTCCATGACAACACCATAACATTTTGCATGTGACATAATTATTGACACAGAATGTGACCCAATAATCTGGCACATTATAGTACGAATATCACAAAACCCTTACTACATGAACATATACCGAAACTGTTTTCCACTGAAGTTTAGTTCATGCAGTAATGATGTCATGACAGTTGCTATAAATGATGTCCAAGCCACAATGACCATTTATATATATATATAAATACAAATACTGGTGCGACTTTGTGATAAGTGTTTGTATTCCATATAAATGGCTTTTGTGTTTTTAATGTGCTCAATCGCTACATGCCACTCGAGGATCAAAACAGGAGTTATTCTACATCTCTTGTAATAAAAGCCATGGAAAGTAACTCTTGTAATGTGCCTATCGCTAAATACAACTCGAGGATCATTACAAGTGTTACTCCACATCTCCTGAAATAAAAGAAATGGGAAGTAACTCTTGTAATGTGTTCAAATCATGAAATGCGACTAGTAGGTCATGACATTAGTTAATCCACATCTCTTGTACATATAACTAAAAGAAATTGGAGATAACTCTTATAATGTCACCATCTTTTCTGTGATGTCAGTCACATAAACAGCATGCTGTGACCACAACATCGTACTGTAAAACAACACAATATCAGCTGCAACCACATATATGTATGTACAGTACTAGTAGAAAAAAAAAAAGAAAAACGACAACAGAAGCAAAATATTTGAATAAAAAATGTTGGTGAAAACATTACAAGACAAAAAAAAAAGGTTATATAATATTTATAAGTTAATAATTATAATAATAATATTAAGTGGTGACAATGAAACTACCAAAAAAACAACTGGTCTTAACTAGGCAGACAACAAATTCTGTGTCAAATTCAAAGCACACAGATGAATGGAGGAGTGTGAAAATAAAGATGGGATGAATGAATAAATGAACAAATGAAGGATGGATGAATATATTTACAAATGTTTGTGTCCAATAAATGTGTTATCACATCAAAAGTCTAGTAATGCAGCACACTTCTGAGATTCTCTTAACCACCAATCAAATGTTTCACATATTCATGGATGAACTTCTATGATTATAAACATTGACACATTTACTCATTTCATGATATTTAGATGTGTCTGTTTCATGCAATCCGAGAAAAACAACTTTCACATTAGCAAGAAGAAACTTCAAATCAATTAACTCAACATAATAAATCAGTTTTGATATAACTAATATTAAAAAAGAAAAGAAAAACAATATTAAGATAATATAAATAAAACTTCATAAAAAGGTGCGCATAGTTTAATATTTTTGATAATCAATGAATTTTATTTAATAAAATAAAATCAAAATTAAAAATTAAAAAAAAAAAGAAGTAAAACAAGGTAAATACTATTCATAATCTAATAAACTGATTAAAATGTGAGTCCAAAGATGAAGAAACCCGAAAATAAATGTTACGAAAATAAAGTTTGTGCTTTTCTCGGACTGATTGTTCTACGGATGATGTAATATCTATAGCTCATTCGGTAATTATTTCCTCATTCTTCCATTGGTTGTGAAAACCCATGAATCTGGAATGATGTGGATGTAATATTGTAGTTTTATAACATTTTATAAAGGTGTCTTTATTAATAGATGGTAAATACTTCAGATCAGAGATTGAAACCACTCGTTTTTGTTTATAACCAAGCTTCATTATATAGCTTAATCTATCTGTATGTATAGTCTCAAATATAAATCTCTTATTACTTGTAATAATTTGAACTTCTTCAGACAGACAATGATTAGTAGTAACAATGAATCATTTTGTATTTCTTTGATAGCTAGTGAATACTAGTATCAATTAATAATTTTGTATTTCTTTGATAGCTAGTGAATACTAGTATCAATAATTTTGCATTTTGTTTTTCCTAAGAAAAAGAGTCTGTACCGTGACTTGAACTTTGTGGGAAGTAAATTCTTATTTAAATTATGATGTGAAGATTAACAATAAGTTTATATAAGACTAGAAAAATAATGTTAATATACACCCGTTCACAACAAAACACAACATATATATAGATAGATATAACTACTTCTCTATTATTTAATAAGAAAAATCGTTATTAAATAACAGAGAAGTGGTTTTATCCATATATACATTGTGTTGTGTTTTGTTATGAATAGATAACCGTACTTCTAGATGTCATTTAATTAAAGAATTAATATACATGTACACCTGTTAATATTGGTTACAGAGTTCATTATACATCACTTATCAATCATAACAATTTACAAAACAATAGGCTGTTTTTGTTTTCAATACACCATACTGTTATAATCATTGGCATGCAGAGAAAATGGCAGAGGTGGGGATGGTGCCGGACTTCCATTTCAGGGGAGCATGCAATCAAGGATAATTAAAAAAATTTTTTTTTTTTTTAAATTTAAAATTATCACTTGACTTTGGCGTACAAGCGGTCTTTCTTAATTTAATAATAAAAAAAATATATTTCGTTTGTTTTTAAACATTTAAAATGTCTCCCTTTCCGAGGTTTTCAGTATTAGGCATTATAGTTGACTCTTTGAGGGCATAGAATCCAAGAGTTGGCTCTGCCCATCAACAAACCTCTGCATGCACTGTTTCAAATTTATATCAAAATTTACGATGTATTTAATTAAGTAGAATTTACTTTTATTTTTTTCTTCAATAATTTTTAATTAGGTCACTTTAAGACTAACAAAGTATGTTTTCATAGATAAGTGGATCACAGCGGATTCAATTCGCAACCTGTCTCCCAGATTTGTGGTGAGATTAAATAAGCATATACAACTATTCATATCAAACAACAAAATTCATATCAGATTTGGTGTGTTGTCACAAAAAGCCATATACAACAGTGAGCACAGTAAATAGTCATAATACAAAAAAAAACCTCATTTAGTTAGTTTATATATATATATATATATACAGTTTTAAAATAGCTGCCATATTCATCAATAATGGCATAGATAGACGATTAGATTTAAACTAAAGCTAGATTCAAACAATTAGTCTATAAGACATATACATATATTACACGTTTTGTACTAAGCAGTATTATAACTTTCTTTTTTTCTTTTATATGGCAAATAAATGAAATGGGGTTTAACGCCCTACTTTTCTGCTGCCTCCCGGTTAATCTACACGGGCATAAGCCATGCAGTGTGCTATGAGGCAAATTTTACCCGGACAGTGGTGCTTTGGCCTTCTCTTGTATCAAATTCCAACTGTCAAGGGTTCTTTTACGTCCACGTCAACGTGCCCTCTGCCTGCACAACTGACAGGAGAAAACCACGCTAGAAAATCCCAAGGAAATTTCTTGGCCAACATGAACTCCAGGGCAGTGAGCCAACTTGACTACTTATACTGAAAATAAAAATGACTGGCATTTAACCCTTAACCGGTCGACGTCATTTTGACGTCATGAGGT